ATAATTTCTTTGTCAGTGGGCAAACGTACATAATCAGCAGGGGATCAAATACTTTTTTCCTTCACTGTACTACCATACCCCATTCAAAGGCACTTCAATCTTTTGTCTTGCCCATTAACCGTCTGAATGGCACACATACACAATCCATGTCTCAACTGTCTCAAGGCTTAAAAATAATTATTTAACCTGTCTCTTCCCCTTCATCTACACTGATTTAAGTGGATTTAACAAGTGACATCAATAAGGGATCATAGCTTTCACCTGGTCAGTCTACGCTCAGTTTTTACCAAGGTGTTATATGAGACACATCAACTTGTCAAGCATGTAGAAACTGTGTTTCAGTGATGTTACACTCAAGCAGATTTTGATGACATGGGGATGTATCCTTGGCACAGTGTAATATTGTTCTGTGTAGTGTGTCTCCAAGATATAGCTACAGACTTAGGATCTTAATTTGATCACCTTTTTGTTGCTGAGAATTTTCCTGCACTGCAGGACATGTAGATGAGCTTTGTGATTTACATAAATTCACTCAAACCCACACTAACACACGTTACTGAAAACCCACACTAACACACGTTTATATTAAGAGTATTTAACTTTTCATGTAGCCTACTTTTGTTCAGCTAATAGCCTAACCACCGATCAACATTATGGACTAAACGTAAAAATCCTGTTGCTGCAGGATTATTTTTGCTGTGACAATACAGGTGAAATTAAGATCCTACATTTGTATCTCTCTATCTTTCATAATTTGGTGTAAATGGAAAAATGAGCCTTAGGCCTATAACAACACCATAGTGGTGCTAAACATGGCTTCAAACAAAGTGTGTGTGTGTGTGTGTGTGTGTGTGTGTGTGTGTGTGTGTACACACACTAGTATTAGTCTCATAGCTACCAGTGGTTAATAGACTGATGTACTTGGTGAGAATATAACATTGGGCGGCTGTAGCACATTATAGCGTGGAAACATGAAGCCATTCCTCTCTATACAGCTCATACACAGACATATAGCAACCACTGTCACCATGAAGACAATCTCGTGTCCAACCACAAATAGTTCCCACCCAAAACATCAGCCCTCTGCTGATGAGCTAATATCTACAAACAAAGAGCATAGGGCAATGACCTACACCTGTGTCTAGCTGTCAGAGAAAATCCAAATATCTTTACACTCTTATCCAGAGCAATTAAGGGTTATGTGCCTTGCTCAAGGGCAAATCAACAGATTTTTCACTTAGTCAGCTTGGGGATTTGAACCAGCAACCTTTCAGTTACTGACTAAACCCTCTTAACCACTAGGGTACCAAAATGTTGTTTTGAATTTGACAGCTCGACGGGGACAGATAAAGTGAATGCACACATAGAATCACAGAGACTCCCTACTGTATTTCTCCGTATTCAGGTAGGGTGTTCAGGCCTTGGTGTAGGCCTATAGGCCGTTGCATACCAACAGAACCGAAGGTCCCAAAATACAATTGACCAACAGGGCACAGGATTTATTTGACACGTACACCTAGTTATTTTCAACACACGGCCATAGCCTTACAATATTCCTCATCCGCCCATGAAAGCGCTTTGAGCTGAGAACTGTCATTTGTGTGTCAGAGCTCCCAATAATTTTTTTGTCTTCGCTATTCTGTTGTTGTTGTTGACTGATCTATCATAATGATGCAGCGAGACCAGTCAATAATAGGCTAAGTATATGGCCTGTACAGGAATATGTGTGTGTGTGGTCTCGTTTCCATGACAACATTGCTATTTAATGCAGGCCATCTAATAAAGGAAATGGATAGGTGTGTACAGAATGAGAATTAATAGGATAGAGTAGAAGGAAAAACACGTATGGATTCTATAGTGCTATATTCTGTATTATTCTATAGAATACCCTACCGATGCTCATTTTTACGAGTTTATAATGGCGGTGATCCTTCACAAATAACTGATTTGTCTATTGTGTAAATTATCTAATGCATAAACGAGGCCACACATGTATATTACATGGATATTACTCTGGAAAAGTAGCATACCATGCTGTGATTAGGCCTATTCATATATAATATTTCGTCTAGATATTTCGTCTACATCGTGAATTTATTCCCGTCCACATTATTATAAAGCCAACATCATGTCGCGTTCTGACAAATGACGCGGCATTGCAAACCCAACACATGCTCAATAGCTTACCTCATTGTTTTTCTCCTATTCAATTAGACGATGACATGAAGAAATTGATATATAGCGGTGTTTCCCTCTCAGACCGTTTGTAAAGCAGAACGTTCAAATTCAATATAACTAAAAGATAATACGCCAATGTTCACCGATTATGTATGGCTGTCGGCAATGCAGTCAGTCTGCTGCTGAAATACAATGCGAGGATCCGAACGTTTTCACTTTCTCTCTCAAAAGCTTTTCACTCCGTTTATTCTCTTGCATCCTTAATTCCATGTTCAAATGATGGTCGCGGTTGTCTCAAGAAGACGGGAGATTGTGGCTGACAGCAGCCTCCGAGTTGCCATATTTCCACCGTATTCGTGGTGTTTTGGCAAGGTGGAGATTTTATGAAATAGTTGACAACAGCATGCGACCGGTCCAATGCTGCCCCCTTGAGATGACCACCTAGAACAGCATCACCATCTCCCTCTATACCAGAACAATGGAATTATATAATAAAATCACTTATAGTCTACCCTGCATAAATCGCATTTATATCATACACCTTTTCTTTCTCCGAATCATTACATAATTTCAACACACCCAAAATAAACTTTGGAATTTCAAAATGTCAATCGAAAAGAGGACAAAAAGTCAGTCTCAAAGATTTGAAGGATTTTCAGTCTTTACTGTCAAAGAAATTAGTACTGTATTCATAAGTGTTGTGACGAACTAAAACATGTTACATTCACGCTGAATGGTTGTGTTCTGCGTCAGTTTTCATACACTCAAACAAAGACCCAAACAAGGACAACAACTTATTATTTTAAGAATTTTTTATTTGAATATTATTCCATCATGGTTACACTGTTATGGTCAAACATCTGCATATAATCCAATCATTAGGTTTGGAGCTGCAAAGAAAAGGGCTACGTTCAGGAGGCAAACGTTTTGGAATGTTGCTGATATAAATGTAATGAATAGTGCTGACACGATTCTTTATCCTACATGTCAGAAAGGTCTGATTGTTCTACATAGTATATTTCTATCTGAACGTTCCACAATGTTGTGCCCTGCTGAATGCAGCCCAGGTATAACAATGTCATGCATGCTCTGGACACTTTTTAAATAACTTTTTTATTACTATAAAACAAACCCCAGATGAATGACCAGTCCAGTCCAGACATCACCAGTGTGGTACAGATAACTCTTGGTGCGATTACTTTTGGCAGGCTGTGAGAAAGATTTCAATATGCATGACATGTTTTGTTCATGGATATTCCAAGTAAACAAGAAGCAGGAGTCAAGGTGAAAAGGTCAGTATGGTAGCTAAGTCACAGGTTTAAGATGGTTCTCTCTCCTTTAAGCATTGGAGTGATCAAAAACGGCTGTAAATATCACAGAGTGGACCTTTAATAAGCCTTGGAGTAGTGATTCCTTGCAGGTGGCATAAAGTAGGGTAGCATTACCAAGCCAAACCGAGCTGTACTGAGCTAGTCTGGTTACACTTCCACCATAGTTGATGGAGCCATGCTGAAAAGGACCAAGTGAAAATATAATAATCGAGCCAGCACAGTACGGTTTGGTTCGGCACTATAGTGTGAAAAGGGGTATTGGAGAGGAAACAATTACAGTGCAATGGTCTGATTAGTGCAAACCTCTTATTTACAGAACTAGTTTGAGACAGGAAGAGAAGGGAGACTCAGGAAGGAAGTGACCTTGGCAGCAGATAATATATAACAGTGTAGTCCAAATATGTTTGAAACAGAGGCTGGTGGGAGGAGCTATAGGAGGCCAGGCTCATTGTAAAGACTGGAACGCAATTAATGGAACGGTATCAAACGCATCAAACATATGAAAACCATGTTAGACTCCATTCCATGAATGCCATTCCAGCCATTACTATGAGCCCGTCCTCCTATAGCTCCTCCCACCCGCCTCCTGAAACAAAGTTCTACTTCAGCTCTGTCAAGCACAGAATAGCCTCCCAAAATGATGCTTTTCAACAGGTGTAAATAATTATTGATTGTTCATTGAATAATTATTTATTTGTTTTTAAAGGGCTCATTGAAATGCCAGTGTGATACTTTATCATATTATAGTTTGCAGAGTAATGAAGTCGTTGTTATGACACATGCAATACCTCAGGAAGCCAGACGGTGGCAGCAGAGTTTAATATCGTCATATTTCTATGTAGCCTCATAGAATTCATCCGCACACTTGGCCTAGTAACCAACTGGCTGGGGTAAACCTGCTGCATTCATTGTAAAATACACATCACAAGATGAAATATTGTCATTTTACTCTATCAGCTTCAGTTGGAACCAAATGTATGTGCTTTCAGTATAGACCAAATGCACATCATCAATATAAATCTCTCTTTGTCTTTCCAAGGCGGAGTGGTATCTGTAGCAGGCCAAAGAGGGAAGAAATTCAACTCCTACTTTTCTATTGGTTTCCTGAGCTGTGAAATATACAAAATAAAGGAGAAAGACAGAGCGATAAAACCAAAACAACATGTACTGCCTGTTGTATCCCCCCTCCCCCAACAAGCCAATCCTATGAACTGATCTAGGATCAGCTTGTCCTCCTTAATGATTAATGGGGGAAATGCAAAACCAGGGGCGGGTCTAAGGGCAACTTCCTCCTACTCCAATAAGCTCATTGGGATCCATGTACAGGAAAGCCTCTGGGAGTGCTCCTTCCCTACCCTACCCCACCCTACCCCCACCCTACCCTACCCCACCCTACCCCACCCCACCCTACCCCCACCCCACCCTACCCTACCCCACCCTATCCTACCCCACCCTGATCCATAAAGAAACTGCATGTATGTCTCACACTATTCGCCACTGCATGACACTCATGTCCTTGCCCCCAGTGGAAACCAGGCAACTGTCGTCAAACAGGAAGTTCACATTGGTCACATGACTGCTGTGTCCGCCATAGACATGACTGGGAGCCTGGAAGGAGAAATAAAACTCAACCAATGGGCTCATATAATCTTTACAGGCTCTTCTCAATTTATATATCTAACTCATTTTTGTATCTTACCCGGAATTGGGAGCAGGGGTATGAGAAAAGGCAGACTTTTCCAAAGTCGTCTCCTGTGACAAGTAGCTGCTTCTCATTGGACCTGGAGACTGCGTTGATGTCAGTCCCGTCGGAGCCATCAGGCCATAACCCTGTGGACCAGAGAGTTACAGTATCGGTCCCATTATGTTATATTCTCTTATCCCTGCACTCTGCACACAATGTGAATGGCCTTACAGTATGGCTGATGTCACACAGCCAGCCCAATTATTGGCAAAACAGCTGATCTGATTGGTCAAAAGACCAATTAGTGGCGAAAAGATCAGAATTGGGCTGCCTATTTAAATGCAGCCTATGTCTCCAGCTTCTTCAACAAGTAAATTATCCAGCTACTTCAACAAATAGATTATCCAGCTGCTTCAACAAATAGATTCTCCAGCTTCTTCAACAAATAGATTCTCCAGCTGCTTCAACAAATAGATTCTCCAGCTGCTTCAACAAATAGATTCTCCAGCTGCTTCAACATTCCTCACCAAAGACTTGGAAGCCCAGAGTGCATGTGGAGGTGGCCCAGGGGATGTCCCGGGTGGTCTCCACACTCACCACCTGTTTGCACACAGACGGGATCCCTGGAACGACATACAGCTGATTGAAACGGGGAGGTGCTACCTGAACTTGTCCAATAAGAACACAGACTTTTAATTTTCCGTTTGAATGAACATGACAATACTTACAATAGAGTATCTCATAGTCTCCTGAGTTGGACACCAGGTACTGAGAGTCCACTGACCAGTCCAGATGGGTGATGAAGCTGGAGTGGCCCTGAGAGACAGAACGAGAGAGACAGAGAGAAACAGAGAGAAACAGAGAGAGAGACAGTGAGAGGGAGAGAGACAGTGAGAGAGAGAGGAGAAAGAGAGAGAGAGTGTGTGTGTGTGTGTGTTTGTATGTGTGCGAGAGAGGGGATGGAAGGTAGCGGGAGAGAGAGAGTAGAGGAGAGAGAAGAGAGAGAGAGATGATGGGAATCAGCTATAGTCGGAATGGATGACTCAGCTTGTTTTAAACCATAATGCACTAGGGCTGTTGAGTGTGCGTAATTTAGCATGTCCTCCTGGTGTGATGCTGAGGAGAAGAGGGGGTAGGTCTTAAAAAAAGGTGCTCACCGAGCACTTCCCCAATCTGCTGTACTTCCTGCCACCGTTCCCCACTGCGTAGATATAGATGTAGTTATCGTGAGAGCCGATGGCCAGGAAATTACCATCTAGGAATAACGACAGGAGATGTAGGTTAGAACAGATAATGTGGCCTGTATCAGTATTACTGTTAACCTGTAACTGTTAGGAGTTCTCTCACAGCAGGCCTACCGTAGACCTCTTGGTATCACTTTACAGAAGGCAGGTTATAATGCATTATGATGCAGCTATAAAGCATTATAAGTATAACCCCCTTGTATTTTCTTACAACCATCTGATAACGATCATGACTAGATAACAGCCATTTAATTATCCTGACTAGATAACAGCCATTTAATGATCCTGACTACATAACAGCCATTTAATGATCCTGACTAGATAACAGCCATTTAATGATCCTGACTAGATAACAGCCATTTTATATTCCTGACTAGATAACAGCCATTTAATGATCCTGACTAGATAACCGCCATTTAATGATCCTGACTAGATAACAGCCATTTAATGATCCTGACTAGATAACAGCCATTTAATGATCCTGACTAGATAACAGCCATTTAATGATCCTGACTAAATAACAGCCATTTTCATTTAAAAGATGTACTATAAATATGAATCCTTATGAGTCATTATAAAGCCTCATACATGCTTATAACAAGTAGCCTAATAAAGCCTATGACAGCACTTACCTGGAGCAAAGCGGACAACAGACAGCTGTTCATTTCCATCAGTGTGCACTGTGACTAGATCCTTAGAGTCGGTATCCAGCACCAGCCACCTGTATGATGGAAGATACCCATCCTCTCATCATCAAAAGCATACTGACACATCACATCTCTCCTGTAGTTTCACAAAGCCCACTTTGAGACTCCTATTGTAATGAGAAACACTATACAGATGATTATTATTATTATTATTATTACTGGTAGATCTCTATGGTTTCTTGTGATGGAATTGGCATAGTGTGATTCTCCTCAAGCACCACTTTGTCACCTGCCGGTCTGCGTTCCTATAGCAACCACTGCTCCAGAGGGATGGAATCCAGCAGACTGGGCCGCGTCCTGTCCACAAAAGAAAACAAAAAGGAAGTCTCATGTCAATGCTGCATCCTGAAACATTCACCACACCTCAGTGAATAACTAATACAACACAAAAGAGACTGAAGCTTTTTCAGAGATGTCTTGAGATATTACCCTACGCTTTCCTCCACTATCTTATAACTAGGGCCCAAACTGAGTTTTTTCCTGAATCAGGTCACGTGGTCAGCAAAAGCTTGTGGCAGCCTGCTCCCAGCCACAGCCAACATAGTTGGCATGACAACATTATTGGCTATACAATACAAACAGATATGGGACCAAGCTAAGCTTGTGGCCCTTCTACAGTTATCTGAGTGTAACGTGTGAGGCTCAGAGTTGTCCCCAGGGGGCGCTGTCTGTCTGTCTACCTCCATAGTCTTGGTCCAGACAGGCTGGTGTGAGGAGGAGTCCCACAGGCTGACGTGCTTGTCGTGACCACAGGTGAGGAAGTGGGGTTTCCAGGGGTGCACGGCCAACCCCCACAGCTCATCGGTGTGACCCTGGAGAAGTTAGGGACGCCAGTTAGCATACCATAATTTAACAGCTGCAGTGTTTTGCTTATAATGTAATTGTTAGGCATCTTTCGAAACTTTAGGTTTAATGTCTGCATGAACTAGAATGTCAGATAATTGTACCCACTTGTGTGATGGGGGTAAATTCGCCATATAAACTGCCTTGTAGAACATAGTTCCTGGTGGTCCCAATAAGCACACTCTCCCCTTTGCCCTCGGCAACAGTCCGGACGGGACCAAATAATTCAGGAACCTGGGAAAGGTGGGAAAATAAATATTATTATTCATACCAACGGTAAGCTTCCTGCCACAGTGGATGTGAGGGTTGTTTTCTTTGTCTTTTCAATGTTTGATTTCACAGATGGCTGAGTGGGGGGATGGGGGAGAGCGGAGGTTGTACAGTACGGAGAGGGGACATGGCCCATTGTAAAACAGAGCGTTGTTTGCATTGTACAAATCATTGGCATTATTATTTTCATCATATGAATACAGTGGGGAGAACAAGTATTTGATACACTGCCGATTTTGCAGGTTTTCCTACTTACAAACCATGTAGAGGTCTGTAATTTTTATCATAGGTACACTTCAACTGTGAGAGACGGAATCTAATAAAAAATCCAGAAAATCACATTGTATGATTTTTAAGTAATTAATTTGCCATTGTCCATTCGGAAGACCCATTTGTGACCAAGCTTTAACTTCCTGACTGATGTGTTGAGATGTTGCTTCAATATATCCACATAATTTCCCTTCCTCATGATGCCATCTATTTTGTGAAGTGCACCAGTCCCTCCTGCAGCAAAGCATCCCCACAGCATGATGCTGCCACCCCCGTGCTTCACGGTTGGGATGGTGTTCTTCGGCTTGCAAGCAGCCCCCTTTTTCCTCCAAACATAACGATGGTCATTATGGCCAAACAGTTCTATTTTTGTTTCATCAGACCAGAGGACATTTCTCCAAAAAGTACGATCTTTGTCCACATGTGCAGTTGCAAACCTGCCTTTTTTATGGTGGTTTTGGAGCAGTGGCTTCTTCCTTGCTGAGCGGCCTTTCCGGTTATGGCGATATAGGACTTGTTTTACTGTAGATATAGATACTTTTGTACCTGTTTCCTTCAGCATCTTCACAAGGTCCTTTGCTGTTGTTCTGGGATTGATTTGCACTTTTTGCACCAAAGTAAGTTTATCTCTAGGAGACAGAGCACGTCTCCTTCCTGAGCGGTATGACGGCTGTGTGGTCCCATGATGTTTATACTTGTGTACTATTGTTTGTACAGATGAACGTGGTACCTTCAGGCGTTTGGAAATTGCTCCCAAGGATCAACCAGACTTGTGGAGGTCTACAATTCTTTTTCGGAGGTCTTGGCTGATTTCTTTTGATTTTCCCATGATGTCAAGCAAAGAGGCACTGAGTATGAAGGTAGGCCTTGAAATACATCCACAGGTACACCTCCAATTGACTCAAATGATGTCAATTAGCCTATCAGAAGCTTCTAAAGCCATGACATAATTTTCTGGAATTTTCCAAGCTGTTTAAAGGCACAGTCAACTTAGTGTATGTACACTTCTGACCCACTGGAATTGTGATACAGTGAATTATAAGTGAAATAATCTGTCTGTAAACAATGGTTGTAAAAATTACTTGTGTCATGCACAAAGTAGATGTCCTAACCGACTTGCCCAAACTATAGTTTGTTAAAAAGAAATTTGTGGAGTGGTTGAAAAACGAGTTTTAATGACTCCAACCTAAGTGTATGTCAACTTCCGACTTCAACTGTATCTCACCGGAGAAAGCATCCGAGCGAGCGAAACAGCGCCCCCTCTGTTTCAGTATATGTAGCCCATGTATCTGATGCTGTCTGGACTGAAAGTGTATGACATTATTGCCGCCCGTAGCATTGAATTCAAATAGCAAGGGAAGCCAGCGAGCATTTGGCCTCCCCTGATAATTTTTTAAAAATAAAATAAAAGCCAATCAGTGTTGAGCTAAACCGAGTGAGGTCAACTGTGAATGGTCCTGGTGCACAAAAAAAAAAGGTAAAGGGATGACAAAAAAAACATGAATGATTATTGTCACTGTGTCGTTGTCCTTCGGTGGCTAGCGAGCTAAAATGATCCCTTTCCTAAATTAGCCATGGATGGAGATAGGGAGTTGGACTTGTGGTTTTGCTTAATTCTCCGTACTGGCCAATGATTATAACGGCGATTCTGATCCAACCATTAATTCATACATTGTGCCCCTGGCCTGAGAGGATGGGAGTTAAATATATACAGTGAGGGAAAAAAGTATTTGATCCCCTGCTGATTTTGTACGTTTGCCCACTAACAAAGAAATGATCAGTCTATACTTTTAATGGTAGCTTTATTTGAACAGTGAGAGACAGAATAACAACAAAACAATCCAGAAAAATGCAATGTCAAAAATGTTATAAATTGATTTGCATTTTAATGAGGGAAATAAGTATTTAACCCCCTCTCAATTAGAAAGATTTCTGGCTCCCAGGTGTCTTTTATACAGGTAACGAGCTGAGATTAGGAGCACACTCTTAAAGGGAGTGCTCCTAATTTCAGTTTGTTACCTTTATAAAAGACACCTGTCCACAGAAGCAATCAATCAATCAGATTCCAAACTCTCCACCATGGCCAAGACCAAAGAGCTCTCCAAGGATGTCAGGGACAAGATTGTAGACCTACACAAGGCTAGAATGGGCTACAAGACCATCGCCAAGCAGCTTGGTGAGAAGGTGACAACAGTTGGTGCGATTATTTGCAAATGGAAGAAACACAAAAGAACTGTCAATCTTCCTCGGCCTGGGGCTCCATGCAAGATCTCACCTCGTGGATTTGCAATGATCATGAGAACGGTGAGGAATCAGCCCAGAACTACACGGGAGGATCTTGTCAATGATCTCAAGGCAGCTGGAACCATAGTCACCAAGAAAACAATTGGTAACACACTACGCCGTGAAGGACTGAAATCCTGCAGCGCCCGCAAGGTCCCCCTGCTCAAGAAAGCACATATACAGGCCCGTCTGAAGTTTGCCAATGAACATCTGAATGATTCAGAGGAGAACTGGGTGAAAGTGTTGTGGTCAGATGAGACCAAAATCGAGCTCTTTGGCATCAACTCAACTCGCCGTGTTTGGAGGAGGAGGAATGCTGCCTATGACCCCAAGAACACCATCCCCACCGTCAAACATGGAGGTGGAAACATTATGCTTTGGGGGTGTTTTTCTGCTAAGGGGACAGGACAACTTCACCGCATCAAAGGGACGATGGACGGCGCCATGTACCGTCAATTCTTGGGTGAGAACCTCCTTCCCTCAGCCAGGGCATTGAAAATGGGTCGTGGATGGGTATTACAGCATGACAATGACCCAAAACACACGGCCAAGGCAACAAAAGAATGGCCTAGCCAGTCTCCAGACCTTAATCCCATAGAAAATCTGTGGACGGAGCTGAAGGTTCGAGTTGCCAAACGTCAGCCTCGAAACCTTAATGACTTGGAGAAGATCTGCAAAGAGGAGTGTGACAAAATCCCTCCTGAGATGTGTGCAAACCTGGTGGCCAACTACAAGAAACGTCTGACCTCTGTGATTGCCAACAAGGGTTTTGCCACCAAGTACTAAGTCATGTTTTGCAGAGGGGTCAAATACTTATTTCCTTCGTTAAAATGCAAATCAATTTATAACATTTTTGACATGCGTTTTTCTGGATTTTATTGTTGTTATTCTGTCTCTCACTGTTCAAATAAACCTACCATTAAAATTATAGACTGATCATGTCTTTGTCAGTGGGCAAACGTACAAAATCAGCAGGGAATCAAATACTTTTTTCCCCTCACTGTAGCTAGATGTAGTAGGCTAATGTTAACTAGTATGCTCATCGTTGCCCATGAAAGGAAGTTAGGCTAGTGAGTAAGCATTTTAGCCAGGTAACCTAGGACAACAAAAACTAAAAGGGTGTACTGTATGACAGATTCATAGACCGTTTCGGCAACATGAAAGAGAGGAGGATGGGATTTGCGTTTCTTTACAAGTAGGGTGAGTCAACATGTTTTTTCTACTTGCAAGCACACACAGAAATCAGTACCATGGACAGCCACATCATATTTAGCTCATGTTGATTGGACTAAATTGTTTTTGGTATCTTTAAGTTGTCACTGTATTAGACTAAGCAGAGGTGATTTGATGATGTTGAAATGTTGAAGTTGAAATGGTGCTGGAATAGTGGAGGCAGCTTTGCGACTTGCAATAACTCTCCGTAGTTCTAAAATCAATAGTTGTTTAGTGGTCCGAAAATGTTGGAAAACTGTAGGTCATGTAACTGTTTGTTACATGCAATATTTGCTTTGTGGACTTCATCAAACAGATGTTGCTCTCCGGTTTTGTGATGAAACAAACGTGTGGTTGAATTTATTCTGCCACTGTGTGACTTTTTGTTGTCTCGGCCTTATTGTATATCACGGTGGGGTATGAACTAACAGGTTACACGGAAAAAAACAACACAATTATCAAGTTTTGTTTTTCTGGCTTCCCAAGTGATTTTACCCACACATTGCTACTGGTCTCACCTCAACCGATTGTATCTGCTGGTAGCTCCCATCCCAAGAGATGAGTTTCCGATCCTTTCCCCCTGACACCAGTGTGCCACTCCTCAACATGCACAGTGCAAAGATGCTCCCATCGTGTGCGCCCTGAACGGCATGGCTAATTCGATTAGTGCCTGCATGACAGAGAGAAAGACAGAACACCCTTGGAGAAGGCAGAAGATAGCGGTTTTGTTTTAACCTCACAACACGTGGTCAGGAGCAGTTCTTCTCACAAGACAGGCTTTTGTTGTTCTATCCTAGGAATGACCCCGTTCTGACCCCAGCATCCTGACAACTGTCTCATAGTAAAGAGCCTTTGATGAGCCAAAACATCTGACATCAGTGGCACAGCCCGGAAGTAACAGATACAAACTTTGAAAACAACGTGACGGTCAGCTGGGGTAGGATAAATACTCAGCAGGTCTGTTTCATTTGCTTCGCTTTCGATCAGAAAACCTTTCCGTAATGTTATTTTCTCTTCAAGATGTATGCGTGGAACTTGTGAGGCTCTTGATGTATGTGATCTTTGCTTATTGCTTCACTTTCCTTATAGCTGACACACAGTAGTAAAGAATGACAGTGTTTACCTTTCCCCCACACCAGAATATTTCCACTTGAGTCTCCAGTTATGGTATCTCCATTTTCTGAAAAAGTCACACTCAAGACAAACTTGGGCTTCTCTTGTTTCTGTGAGAAATATAAATATGGCTTTATTTACTTGGGGTGGGGTGGGGGCAGAGATACAACAGAGTTGTGGTAGTCACAAAACATACAGAGACAGACATGCAGCTTCACTGACACTACCTTTCTAACATGGGGCAAAGAACTAAAGCAACACAGCCAGTACTAGCTACATCCACTTTTGGGCAAAAAGCGTCTGCTAAATGGCATATGTCATATTGATTTTGACAAATACATTTTCCCCTAAAACTCAGATGATCTAGCAGATGAACGTGAGGCCTGTGTAAATAAGAGATCTTAAGTCGTACCTCAAACAAGCCTTGTTTCTTGACAAGGGTGCCCCGTTCCAGAGTCCAGAAGTAGAGGTGGGACTTCCCACACGTGACTATAATGTTGGTGTCAGTGGGGTGGAAGTCGGCAGCGAACACTGCCTCGTTGGAACACTGTAACGGGACAGAAAGAGTCACGGTCACTCGTGTTTCAGAGTGCCTCTGACTCCATCTGTTCAGGGGCAAATGTGAACATTCTGAGGCTATGGCTGAACATTCGCCTTACAAATCATGAGAACATTTCAAAATTGTCTATGAGGATATATATAGAGCAACTCAAAAGCCAGGTAAGCTTTCCTGAGACCTGAAGACTTGCGTTGGATTCCCCAAGCTAATGCCTAGAATTTAGCTCAAAGGGCTAAGACAGTCTTGATGCGCACAGGTTCAAACCCTGGTCGCACACACACACACACACACACACACACACACACACACACACACACACAGACACTCACCTTGACGTCAGCCAGTCTCTCCTCTCTCTGCCAGTCCCACACAGAGAGCACATGGTCGTTGGAGTCGTCTACCACACACAGCATGTTACCGCCGTTCTGCACAGACCAACAGAGCGGGATCAGCCCTGTCCTCAGTTATTTAGGAAAGCTTTTTCTGACCAGTAAAGGCACACTCAAAATCTGGTTCATATATCAGCTATGATTGTTTTCATGAAGGTCCATAGCTTACCGACTTGGAGAAGGCAAGGCAAACCAGGGCGCGGTCAAAGAAGCCTGTTCCCAGAACGTGGAGGGTGTTGAGGCTCACTGAGTCCCAAACCCGCACATGAGGAGCCAGCTGCTGTCAGTACACACACACACACGCACGCACACACACACACACACACACACACACACACACTATTTCTAATCATGAAATAAGTGTACTGATCATAGATTTAAAGTTATGTGACAATGAGAGGTCTCTTACTTTGCCATCAGAAGAGGTGCCTGCCACCTGTCCTGTTGCTATGGTGATTTTATCAGGATGGACAGCCAAGCTATAGAACAGACACATAGGAACAGAGAGACGGCAAACACTTTGAACATCTGAAGGGTGGATTTGAAAAATGATGACAAAACCACAGAGACCTCAAAGCAGATCAAAGACAAGTGTTTTGTGTCTTACGAAACTGTGAGTTGCTATCATATAATATATGTTGTTCTGTCAAACTGAAGGTCATGTGGTGTCGTTACAGTAGGTAATGTTTGATTTCATTCTTACTGATGTTGACAAGACTCCCCCCTCTTCTATTACTGACAGCAGATAGAAGGGCACTACAGAAGGGCACTACAGAAGGACACTACAGAAGGGCACTACAGAAGGACACTACAGAAGGACACTACAGAAGGACACTACAGAAGGACACTACAGAAGGGCACTACAGAAGGACACTACAGAAGGACACTACAGAAGGACACTACAGAAGGACACTACAGAAGGACACTACAGAAGGGCACTACAGAAGGACACTACAGAAGGACACTACAGAAGGACACTACAGAAGGGCACTACAGAAGGACACTATGCCTTACAGAGAGATAAGAGAATGTCAGAGGACTCTTTACTACAGAGTGAAAAGGAAGCTAACATCTCCCTGTGCCCTGCCACGAATCAACTCTTTATTAGTTAGATATTCATTATCAGCATGACCCCAGGCCGACCCTTCGTCTGAGTTTTTAGCTCATTATATTTCTTACAAGCCTTTTCTGTCTGAGATAATTACCTGCCCAACACTTTAACTGAGGAAAAGCAGCTGCAGGCCAGCCACCTGTTTACTTTAGTCTGCCTCATTATGAAGGGGTTATTCCATAGGATTAGACAGGAATACTGATCAAAGCATTGCTGAGACAAGGTACCTCTGTCTGCACTATAATACATGGAGGATTTAATACGACGGTGGGCAACAGGCCTCCGCATCAAGGTGCATAACAAAGCATAGCCTTTTCAGCATAAATTAAACACTTTCAACTTGGAGTTGTGTTGCATGTTTCTTTGGATAGCGGAAAGATAGCATAGTTATCAACAAATTATTTAAATACATCGCTTTAATAAATGTTGAATACTGTCGGTCTGAGAATACTGTACACGGGAGATGGTGACAATGATTTAAGGGTTAAATAGGGCAGTCTCTCTTCTGGCATGACCCCAGTTACCTCTCTGACTCTTAGGCCCTACTACTCAATGTTTGACAAGTAAAGTGTCCAGATAAGAACATCAACACACATCCACATCGGAACACAGTATACAGGGAGAAATACAGTGTTGTGTCATATTCTGTTTCCTCTCACCACTTGATGTCGTCAGTGTGCCTGGTGTAGTGTCTCTGGAGCTGATCGTCCACATTGTAGAGAACCACCACAGAAGCAATGAAGTACACTGTCTCTCCCGTGGGTAGCAGGTACAGGTTACTGCGACAGTCACGCCCCCGGTACCCATAACTGGACATTTAGGTCAAGAGCCACACAACTTCCGACGGAACTTCAACTGTAGCCTACATATAAACCAATCTAGTTTGACTGAATTCAATGAGGCACATTAATAAAAGCTCTTGGCACCTTAGGGCCACCGTAGTCTATATTTACAACCTATCACTCAGCATCACCCATCATGCATACAGCTACCCTCTGTAACCTTCCGGAGTTCCAAATGGATAATTCAGTAAGATACGATAGACGCACTTCTGTTGAAAGTCAGTTCTATCCATCTTCCCTTTTTTTGGAAAATCCACAGTCGCCTTCAGGCAAAACACTAGACCGAACACAGAACATTCATAGTTTCATCCTGATCCTGGTGTTTCCAGAAATATGCTTTTTTTTTAATAATCAGTATAATCTCCTCTCTCTCACTCTAATGAAATGGGGGTCGATACCTTCAGGGACAGAGAGGAGGAGAAAATAGGGTGCAGCCTGCTGGCTTCTGGGCTATAGGCAATTGCTGAATACAAGAAAGCAGGGTTTGTATTTCAGTATGCAGTGGAGATGAATAGGAAATAAATATCTACTGGAACATCCAGGATGTTTTCATTCACAGCTGTGCAATAGAGTGCATTCTGAATTTAACTTAGCAATACATGGGGGATACATCTAGCAATGCATCTCTGGCCTGAAAGAGTAGATTTTCAAGCCTGTTGTTATGAACATAACTAAAATGTTGTAATGCCACGTAACAATCCGTTTCTTATCTTTTGAAACATAAATTTTCTATTAGCCTTCCATTTTGAAAAATGACTCCACAACAGTGAAAAAAGGATACACCCAGTCCAGTTTGAGCTTCTTGTTTGGCAGGTCCGATTTGGCTTCCAGGCAGTAGGTATCCACAAGGTCTTTGGGCATGTACATGGTGATGGGTCGTCCCTTCAAATACATTTTCACATACCCTTCCTCTAAAAGAAGCAACAGACATTTTCAGTGGACAATTTGTCATGAATCATTGGTAACAAGGAGGAGTGTTTGTGATGGTGAGAACAGTGTATGAGACTCACGAGAATGAAAGAGGGGTGTATGAGACTCATGAGAATGAAAGAGGGGTGTATGAGACTCATGAGAATGAAAGAGGGGTGTATGAGACTCACGAGAATGAAAGAGGGGTGTATGAGACTCATGAGAATGAAAGAGGGGTGTATGAGACTCATGAGAATGAAAGAGGGGTGTATGAGACTCATGAGAATGAAAGAGGGGTGTATGAGACTCACGAGAATGAAAGAGGGGTGTATGAGACTCATGAGAATGAAAGAGGGGTGTAGAGCAGTGGGGGCTGCTGAGGGGAGGACGGCTCATAATAATGTCTGGAAAGGAGTGAATGGAATGGATTCAAACCATGTGTTTGATGTATTTGATACCATTCCACTCATTCCACTCCTACCATTACCATAAGCCTGTCCTCCCCAAATAAGGTGGCACCAACCTCCTGTGGTGTAGAGACGATCAATAGTTTAGAGGGGTGTCATGGTTATGAGATGTTGATATACAGTACCAGTCAAAAGTTTGGACACACCTACTCATTCAAGGGTTTTTCTTTATTTTTACTATTTTTTTACATTGTAGAATTATAGTGAAGACATCAAAACTATGAAATAACACACACGGAATCATGTAGTAACCAAAAAACAAATAAAAAAATGTTTTTTATTTGAAATTCTTCAAAGTAGCCACCCTTTGCCTTGATGACAGCTTTGCACACTATTGGCATTCTCTCAACCAGATTCATGAGGTATACAGACGATAGCCCTATTTGGTAAAAGACCAAGTCCATATTATGGCAAGAACAGCTCAAATAATCAAAGAGAAACGACAGTCCATCATTACTTTACGACATGAAGGTCAGTCAATCCGGAAACTTTGAATGTTTCTTCAAGTGCACTATGATGAAACTGGCTCTCATGAGGACCGCCACAGGAAAGGAAGACCCAGAGTTACCTCTGCTGCAGAGGATACGTTTATTAGAGTTACCAGCATCAGAAATTGCAGCCCAAATAAGTGCTTCACAGAGTTCAACTAACAGACACATCTCAACATCAACTGTTCAGAGGAGACTGCGTGAATCAAGCCTTCATGGTCGAATTACTGCAAAGAAACCATTACTAAAGGACACCAATAAGAAGAGACTTGCTTGGGCCAAGAAACACGAGCAGTGGACATTAGACTGATGTAAATCTGTCCTTTGGTCTGGAGTCCAAATTGGAGATTTTTGGTTCCAACCGCTGTGTCTTTGTGAGACGCAGTGTAGGTGAACGGATGAGCTCCGCATGTGTAGTTCCCACCATGAAGCATGGAGGAGGAGGTGTGATGGTGTGGGGGTGCTTTGCTGGTGACATTCTGTTTTTATTTAGAATTCAATGCACAATTAACCAGCATGGCTATAACAGCATTCTGCAGCGATACGCCATTCAATCTGGTTTGGGCTTAGTGGGACAATCATTTGTTTTTCAACAGGACAATGACCCAACACACCTCCAGGCTGTGTAAGGGCTATTTGACCAAAAAGGAGAGTGATGGAGCACATTTATATTTACATTTACGTCATTTAGCAGACGCTCTTATCCAGAGCGACTTACAGTTAGTGCATACATTATTCTTTTTTATTTTCATACTGGCCCCCCATGGGAAACGAACCCACAACCCTGGTGTTGCAAACACCATGCTCTACCAACTGAGCTACCTCCCTGCCGGCCATTCCCTCCCCTACCCGGGACGACGCTGGGCCAATTGTGCACCGCCCGATTGGTCTCCCGGTTGCGGCCGGCTACAGCAGAGCCTGGATTCGAACCAGAATCTCTAGTGGCACAGCTAGCACTGCGATGCAGTGCCTTAGACCACTGCGCCACTCGGGAGACCTACATCAGATGACCTGGCCTCCACAATCCCTCGACCTCAACCCAATTGAGATGGTTTGGGATGAGTTGGACCGCAGAATGAAGGAAAAGCAGCCAACAAGTGCTCAGCATATGTGGGAACTCCTTCAAGACTGTTGGAAAAGCATTCCAGGTGAAGCTGGTTGAGAGAATGCCAAGAGTGTGCAAAGCAGTCATCAAGGCAAAGGGTGGCTACTTTGAAGAATCTAAAATCAAAAATATATTTTGATTTGTTTAACACTTTTTTGGTTCCTACATGATTCCGTGTGTGTTATTTCATTAGTTTTGATGTCTTCACTATTATTCTACAATGTAGAAAATAGCTAAAATAAAGAAAAACCCTTGAATGAGTAGGTGTGTCCAAACTTTTGACTGGTACTGTACATTTAAAAAATAAAAAGTTTCAAAAGAAGTGAATGAATTGAGTAAAGGAAATGATAGATCAGCAAACACAGAGATAGATTTTAGAGGCTTTCGATGTCCTTTTATTCGTCATTTCAAATACATTCAGATAATAACAAGGAACGGTGCAAAATGAACTGAGAAGACAAAACATGCATAGGGTCATGGTGCCACAGCAAGGGAAGCAAACCAACCTGAAGACTCAAAAATAAGAGTCAAAAACCAAAAAAGACGAAAAAACATAAAACATGACAGTCATGGAGAGGAATGGTTTTTTTTTTCAAGTCAATTTTTACATTCAAGTTTAACACAGAACTTCTTTCAATCTAATGCCAAGCGCTGGTTTAGGCCTAGCTTAGTAACAGATTTGGAAGTACTGGCTGGGGGATTTGACGGGGCTCCTGTAGCTCGGAGTGTCTAAGGGGGAGTAGGAAGACTGGCTGACTGACTTTCTCAGGGGGATGGTGAACGTCGGCGTCTTCCTGACTCCAGTGGACCTGACAGACTTGTCAGATTCGCTCTTGGAGTCAGGCGTGTGGGGAGCAGAGGAGCGGCCAGACAAGGCCGCTACGCAGGATTTGGGCGCCTCAGCGGTTCCAGTCCTTTTTGACGGGCGGGTCAGATATATCTGCACGGTTACTAGGTAGGTGAGGTGGTATGAGTTGAAGGGTCCAGTGGGAAGGGGAGGAGGGGTCGTTATAATATACCAGTTAGATGTGATCGACAACTTGCTTTACGCCACATGGACGACCACAAAACACAGGAACTGGTCAAACAAGCTACGGTATCTCTGTTAACAAAGCTGATGGTACAAAACAAGCTACGGTATAATTGGTTAACAACAGCTGGGGGACTGGTACAAAACAAGGCTACGGATCTAGGTTACAACACTGGACTGTATCAAACAAGTTAGATCTCTGGTTAACAAAAGCTGGACGGTACAAAACAAGCTCGGTATCTATGGTTAACAACAGTGGACGACCACGGTAAACACAGAACAAGCTGGGTATCTACTGGTTAACAACAGCTGGACTGGTACAAAACAAGCTACGGTATCTACTGGTTAACAACAGCTGGACTGGTACAAAACAAGCTACGGTATCTACTGGTTAACAACAGCTGGACTGGTACAAAACAAGCTACGGTATCTACTGGTTAACAACAGCTGGACTGGTACAAAACAAGCTGCGGTATCTACTGGTTAACAACAGCTGGACTGGTACAAAACAAGCTACGGTATCTACTGGTTAACAACAGCTGGACTGGTACAAAACAAGCTGCGGTATCTACTGGTTAACAACAGCTGGACTGGTACAAAACAAGCTGCGGTATCTACTGGTTAACAACAGCTGGACTGGTACAAAACAAGCTACGGTATCTATTGGTTAACAACAGCTGGACTGGTACAAAACAAGCTGCGGTATCTACTGGTTAACAACAGCTGGACTGGTACAAAACAAGCTACGGTATCTACTGGTTAACAACAGCTGGACTGGTACAAAACAAGCTACGGTATCTACTGGTTAACAACAGCTGGATGGCTAATCTACTGGGGCTTGTACTCTTTAAGTTAAACTTCAGACTTTTACTAAAAGAGTGCATCAGTGGCTCAACATATAACTAATGTCTATGGTAAACATGACACAATAAAGCGTCTCTTTTTTGGTCTACTTTAGCCGGCATCAGGGTGAATAACAGTCTTTAAATAGGTTCACTTCACTTGACCTACCATTTACTATGGACCTGCTTTTATTATGTATTTCATTATTATTCTATATTTTTTTGCCACTGACAGCCTTGAATCTGTCACAGGGACCATGAGTTTCACGACAGTCTGCTTCCAAACATGTCTCTTTCATCTTACATTAGCAAAGCTTATGGAAATTAGCCACAAGCTGTCCATCAAACAGTCGTTTGAAGGCCATGCAAGAGAAGGCAACTCCAAAAATAATTCAAAAGCTATAAAGTAAAGACATTGTAATGCAAACAGCCCTTTTGAGGATACATGATACCAAGACAAGACAATTGGTTTTTTGTGCTCTGAAAAGGGGACTCTTAGGAGATCAGGGTGCACTGCAGGAAATATTTGGTGGGGTTCCTATGGTGACAAGGACAAAAGAGTGCTGTGTGGCTTTGAGCAAACATCTCTAGAATGTGGCAATTCCACACTAAGGTTAAACAGCTAGTCTAAAAAGCATCACTGCAATCAACCACACACAGTTCAGACTCAGTGTGTTAGAGCATGGTTTCCCAAACTCGCCCCCCCCCTCCCCAGGTGCACATTTTGGTTTTTGCACTACAACTACACAACTGATTCAAATAATCAACTCATCATCAAGCTTAGTTTTTTTTAAAATCAGCTGTGTAGTGCTGGGGCCAGGGGGGGGGCAGGGACAGAGTTTGGGAAACCCTGTGTTAGAGAGTGTATATTAGTCCACAGTTGGCTGACATATTGGGGAGGGATCCTATCACACTCACTGTCAACCCAAACCCACCCATGCCATGGGCCAGCTCTCTGTGCATTGGGCCTATGAGCCAGTAGCCTATACTGTACGTTCTCGCACCAGACAAGAACAATAGCTGTAGTCTAAGTGTAATAGCTCCAGGTATGTGCAACGTAATATCCTGCCGACTACGCCATATTGTGGCATGGAGGGGTCTTACATTTGACATTTTAGTCATTTAGCAGACGCTCTTATCCAGAGCGACTTACAGTTAGTGAGTGCATACATTTTCGTACTAGCTACCACACTATTTCTTTGGGCGCAATTCCCATGATGGTGGCGTAGTGCGTTAGATACACCCCCCCCCCACGCCACATACGGCTAATTTATGTATAGATTAACTATTTTTCTAAGGCCTTAAGAGAACACAATGTCCAGAGAGCTGCTAAGGTAAGGGGGCTTGAGGACCAAGGCCTACCTTTGCAGTGCGTCACTCGTCGCATCCCTTTCAGAGAGAAGGGGACAGAAGGACCAGGTGAGGTTTTGCTTCCTGTTCCTGACCTGGGCTTCCTGTTCCTGACCTGGACTTCCTCATCACTGTGACTTCTTACACTTCCTCCGTTTTATGCAAGTGCCTTGCCTCAGCGTCTTCTTGACAACACTTAGGCTATTGTGCTTGAGGTATTTTCTGTTTGATTTTCTGTTTGAATCTAGGCAAATCATCCATCCATCCATCCATCCATCCATCCATCCATCCATCCATCTGATCTACCAGTCTGAACAGGAGCATCTGACAATTTCACATAGGCTAGAGGCTAAGCATGTAGGGTTGGTGTCACTTGTTTGGTCCTTAAGGATTAGTGGAAGGTTGGATGGGCTATAGAGAGATTCTAATCAACAGAAAACAATTCCACAGATTATATGAAGGCACAGTGTCCATTGGGATTATTCAGGCTTTATCATCTTGATACATTGATTCGTTGACTTCTTCTTAAGGTTGAAAGTTTATGACACTACCCTGGGACTGTACTAGTCTGATCAGGGTATTATAGACAGTACCTGATTCAAATCATCAACAAGGCTATGTTAATGGTGGTGCCAGTACATTTTCTCTGCTGATCAGCACCCACTGTCTTGCTGGAATCAATCCCCAGCCACAGTAAGGTTCAGCAAGAATCAACCCCCGGCCACAGAAAGTTTCAGCAAGAATCAACCCCCGGCCACAGAAAGTTTCAGCAAGAATCAACCCCCGGCCACAGTAAGGTTCAGCAAGAATCAACCCCCAGCCACAGAAATGTTCAGCAAGAATCAACCCCCGGCCACAGAACGTTTCATCAAGCACAGAATCAAGACAACCCCGGCCACAGAAAGTTTCAGCAAGAATCAACCCCCGGCCACAGTTAAGGCAAGAATCAACCCCCGGCCACATTAATGTTCAGCAAGAATCAACCCCCGGCCACATTAATGTTCAGCAAGAATCAACCCCCGGCCACATTAATGTTCAGCAGAATCAACCCCGCCCAAATGTTCACAGATCAACCTAAGTCACAAATCAACCCCCGGCCACATTAATGTTCACAAGAATCACCCCGGCCACATTAATGTTCAGCAAGAATCAACCCCCGGCCACATTAATGTTCAGAGGGGTGATGATCAATCAGGGAGAATTACACCAAATAAATCAACCTAATGGGATACAGCAATCTAATTTATCCAGCGATCAATACCATCCTGGAGATCTCATAGTGTTTACTGTTACTACCACTGTATACAAACTTATACAGTAAAACATGTAGTACAGGTGCATTACTCCTGGTAAGGAAAGGAAAAAAGGAAATTATAGATGACAATGGAGGTTGAAATGCTTCGTCAGAATTTATGGGAGGATGGAAGTGGTTATGGAGGGTTGGATGATTATTGGTTGGAGGATGATTGTTTTCAGCACGTTACAACAGAAACGTCACCACTGTCCATCACAGCACATCACAGAACATCACAGAACATCACAGAACATCACAGAACATCACAGAACATCCCTGACTGGTACTCTAAGAGCTGGGTATTAACCAAGTGAGCAAAAGTGTCATTACAACCAAACTTGTCACTAATGACATCATTGCAACCAGTTTGGCCTGCTGGGGAGGAGGCGCTGACTTTAACCTGCAAAGACCCTGTAACATACCTTACATTTGGTTTTGCACGTCTGACAACCAATGCTGACAAATTGAAGGAATCCAACCATTTAATCAAATAATGGCTCAAATGTTCAGTTGACAACAGCTATCATATATGTCTAGAATAGATCGTGCAAAACAAAATCAATGACATTTTCCAGGGTTATGTTACGATACGCTTCTCAAAATCTTTAACCCTCTCTAACTCACAGGGAGCCAATGAGTGCATGGCATCACTGATTAGAGTCCTGTTGGCTCTTACCTGTATTGAAAACGGGCTCCTTCAGTTTGCTGCAGGGTGGGTGAAAAAAAATCTGTGTCAACACTGAACCCGGCACTGCGCCAGGTATGTTCAATCAAGCGCAGATAAAGTATTTGAACGATAAGAAACACTACTTGAACCCAGGGGGTCATGTGCAGTAGGGTAAAACGTTTTGAAACTGACTGAAACGGTTAGGTTTCCACTAAGAAATGCTTGTTTTAGTTTTACGTTTCAAATTTATAGTTTTACGTTTCAAAACATTTCACTACGGTGTGCCCTACTGAACACTACCCAGGTCTGGCTGTGAAGGACCAGTCGTTGTTGTTATGCTGGCGGTACCTTTCGCTGGCTCTCTTGCCGCCGGAGTTGCTCCCGGTGGAGCCGGTGCGGGTGCGGTTGGTCTTGGAGTCGCCGCTGTCTTTGCGCGTCAGCGTACTCATCGTTTCGTTGGAGTTGGTTCTCCTCACAGTACTGGGGAGAGATGGTAAAATGGACGATAAAACTACCTGATGGTGCCTTTTAAATGAATACAGGTGCTTAAAAGATATCGTCCAAGGAATTATGTTTTCTAAGGCGCATAAGGAGTACTTCGTTACTTGCCTGTAAACTATTGAAATGCACACCCAAGATTTCTCTCTCTGGGGAAGAGATAGTAAAATGGATGATCAAATGCCCTGATGGTAAAAGAGAGAAGCCTAACATGAATTGTCTGGGGAATACCGTTAAAATAGCCTGTTATTTAGCTGTATCCCCTCAGAGGGTTTTCAGGTGCAAATCCTTCTGGAAAACATGATCTATCAACTGAAAATCCTTCTGGAAAACATAATCTATCATCTGAAAAATCAAAGACTTCAATTTATTTGAGTGTAGCGGCAAGGACAAGCAAGGACCATACCAGCAAGCTATAAATACCACTATCTGTTACAAGTCCTCATACGTCCCTGTAAGTATCATAGTACACCAAGGAAGGCCCTATACTAGGAAACGAGATTACTGATCCACGACAGAGAGAGACTTTTCCCTCGCTTTCCACTGTGGACACATTTGTGAGGGTATTAGAGGAGATAGTTGAAACATGTCAAAAGGCTTTCCATTAAAATGCCTGTACAAAGGAAGGGCCTTTTCAGCAGTCCATTGGCTAGAATGGCTTCCAGGCTCAAGTCTAATCCGGCCTACAAAACCCAAATCTATTCACTTCTGCCGTTGGGGCTGATGTTATCCCCCTGAAACAAGGTCCGGGGATATGTGTGTGTGTTGTGTGTGTGTGTGTGTGTGGGGGGGGGGGGTAGTTGAGGTATGCCAGGCAGCAGGCATACCTCGATCAGGAATGGAGTGAATTAGGTCATTGGGCTTTAGGTTGGCATGGGAGCAGCACCTACTGTAGTTGATTTAATCAACACACACAAAAGAGGGAGGGAGAGAGAGATCGATAGAGAGATTCATTCATTTGTTTGTTGAATTATTAATTAATTAATTAATTCCATTTAATTTATACAGGATAGTCCACTCAGAAACAATAACAATTGCCACTGCTTTCCAGGGAGAGAGATGTTTTGTGATGAATGTTGTTATTCATTGTTCATAGAAATGATCTGTAAATGAAATGACTCATTAATCTATGGGGGATGGGTAGCATTGAGGTAACATTATGAGCATTTAGGATGATGATAACATCTCAGTCTGGGGGTCTGGGGGGTTAGGGCCAGACAGACTGGAGAGACTGGGTCTGGGGGGGGGGGGGTGGGGGTTAGGGCCAGACAGACTGGAGAGACTGGGTCTGGGGGTCTGGGGGGGGGGTTAGGGCCAGACAGACTGGAGAGACTGGGTCTGGGGGTCTGGGGGGTTAGGGCCAGACAGACTGGAGAGACTGGGTCTGGGGGGGGGGGGTTAGGGCCAGACAGACTGGAGAGACTGGGTCTGGGGGGGGGGGTTAGGGCCAGACAGACTGGAGAGACTGGGTCTGGGGGTCTGGGGGGTTAGGGCCAGACAGACTGGAGAGACTGGGTCTGGGGGGTTAGGGCCAGACAGACTGGAGAGACTGGGTCTGGGGGGTTAGGGCCAGACAGACTGGAGAGACTGGGTCTGGGGGGTTAGGTCCAGACAGACTGGAGAGACTGGGTCTGGGGGGTTAGGGCCAGACAGACTGGAGAGACTGGGTCTGGGGGGGGGGGTTAGGGCCAGACAGACTGGAGAGACTGGGTCTGGGGGGTTAGGTCCAGACAGACTGGAGAGACTGGGTCTGGGGGGGGGGGGTTAGGGCCAGACAGACTGGAGAGATGGGTCTGGGGGGGGGGGGGGGGTTAGGGCCAGACAGACTGGAGAGAACTGGGTCTGGGGGGGGGTTAGGGCAGACAGACTGGAGAGATGGGTGGGGGGTGGGAGGGCCAGACGACTGGAGAGACTGGGTCTGGGGGGGGGGGGTTAGGGCCAGACAGACTGAGAGACTGGGTCTGGGGGGGTTAGGGCCAGACAGACTGGAGAGACTGGGTCGGGGGTAGGGGGGGGGGGGCAGACTGGAGAGATGGGTCTGGGGGGGTTAGGGCCAGACAAATGGAGAGACTGGGTCGGGGGGGGGGGAGATGGTTAAAATAAGGGGGGTTTTAAGAAAATTGGGGTTTGAAGGGAAAAATTTGGGTTTTACAGAATAGGGGGTTTTTGTAAACTAATTTTTGGGGGCAAAAAGTTTTGGGTTTTTGGGAGGTCTTGGGGGTTGGGGGGCCTTGTGGGGGGAAGGAGGAACTTTTTTTTCCCCCCCCTTTTCCAGAAAGCCCCCCAAATTTGGGTTTTCCCTTGTTGGGGGGAACCTTTTGGGGTTTAAAAGGGTTTTAAAACAAATTGGAAAACAGTTTTTTAAACCCTTTGGGTTTAAAAATAATTTGGGAAAAAGCTTTTAAGGGGGTTTTGAAACCATTTTTAGAGAAGGGGGGGAAAGACATTTTTTTACAAAGGGGTTTTTTTTCCCCATAGGGTGTCAAAGGGGCAAAATTTTTCCCTTTGGGTGAGGGCCCCTTTTTTGGTTTTTAGGGGCCCCTTTTTTTTTCCCTAAATTTTTGGGAGATAAGGACACAAAAGGACTGGGGTTTGAAAACATTGGGGCCCTTTCCCCCCAAAATTTGGAAAGAAAGGGGGGGAAAAATTTTGGGGGTTTTTTAGAGTTGGGGGAAATTTGGGGTTTGTTTTTTAAGGGGGGGTGAAAAATTTGGGGGGGCAAATTTTTTGTCCCTTTTTTAAAAACCAAAATTTTGTGGGGGGTTTTGACAGACATATTTAGGAACCCTTTTTTCCCCCCTTTAAATTTTTTAGAGCAAAAATGTTTTAAAAACCTATGTGTTGGAAGCATTGGGGGGTTCCCCGGGGCCAAAAAAGGGGGAGGAGCCCTTTTTGGTTTGACGTTGGGGTTTGGCCCTTTTTTTGGGGTTTGGGTTGGGGGTTTTTTTGGCCTTTTTGGGGTGGATTGGGGGTTAAGCATTTTTGTTTTCCCAGTTAAAAAAGTTTTTGGGGAAAAGGGGGGTGAATTTTAAAATTTTGGTTCGAAAAGGAAACCCCCGGGGGTTTTTGTGGGGTTGGGGGGACTTTTGGGTTTTGTGGGACAAAGGGGGTTTTTGTGCGACTGTTTTGTGGGCTAATGGGGTTTTTTGGGTTTGGGTTTTGTGGGTTGTGGTTGTGGGGAAAGGGTTTTGAGGGCTTTGGTTTAAACATTTTTGGGGGAGACATAAGGGGTTTTAAGCCAAATGTTTTGTAGGAATTGGGGGTTTTGTTAAAAAATTGGGGGTTGGGGGAACTAATTTTAAAATTTAATTGGGGTTTTAAAAAATTTTTTTTAAAACATAATGTTTTGGGGGGGGGTTTGGGGAAGACAAAAGGGGGGGGGAAAAGGGAAAAATTTTGGGGGGTTTGTGGAAAAAGGGTTTGTAGGAGACTTTTGTAGGGAGCTTAAGGGGTTTGAGAGCGTGGGTTTTGTAAGCAAAAGGGGGGTTTGGGGCCTTGTTTTGTAGGGACAAAGGGGTTTGAGGAAAAAAGGGGCCCTTTTGGGGGGTTTGTGGGTTGGGTTTTAGGAAAGGGGGAGGGCAAAATGGGGTTTTGAAAGAAATTGTTTTTTGGGGGGTTTTTGGGGGTTTTTTTTGGGGGTTTGGGGGGGTTTTTAGGGTTTTTGGGTTTTTGGAGACTAAAGGGTTTTTAGAGAATAATGGGGGGTTTAAAAAAATGTGGGTTTGTGGGTTTTTGGGTTTAGGAGTTTTTTGGGTTTGTCTTTTGGGGGTTTTTTTTTTGTGGTTTTTGTGGGTTGGGGGTTTTTGTGGGGGGTTTGGGGTTTGGAATTTTTTTGTGGGTTTTGGGGGTTTAGGGAAAAATAATTGGGGGGTGGGCTTTGGGGGTTTGGGGGAAAAAAATTGGGGTTTGTGGGCTTTGTGGGTTTGAGGGGCCCGGGGTTTGGAGGGGGACATAAGGGGTTTTTAGCGGGAAAAATGGGGGTTGTAGGAGACAAATGGGGGGTTTTGTAGAGACATAAGGGGGTTTGTAGGGACATAAGGGGTTTGTGGGAGAAAAATGTGGGTTGAGAGACATAAGGGGGTTTTGTGAGAAATGTGGGTTTGTAGGAGACTAAGTGGGTTTGTAGGGGGGGACATAATGGGGTTTGTAGGAGAATAATGTGGTTTGTAGGAGAAAATGTTTTTTTGAGGAGACATAATGGGTTTGGGAGGACATAATGGGGGTTTTGTAGGGGACATAAGGGGTTTTGTAGGAGAATAAGTGGGTTTGTAGGAGATAAATGGGGTTTGTAGGAGAAATAATGGGGGTTTGTAGGGACTAATGTGGTTTGTAGAGAAAAATTTGGGTTTGTGGGAGAATTTTAATTGGGTTGTAGGAGAAATAAGTGGGTTTGTAGCAGACAAATGGGGGTTTTGTAGGAGAAAAATTTGGGGGGTTTGAAAGAGATAAGGGGTTGTGGACAATGGGGTTTGTAGGAATAAGTGGGTTTGTGGGGGACATAATGTGGGGTTTGTAGAAAATAATGTGGGTTGTAGGGGGACATAATGTGGGTTTTAGGACATAATTTGGGTTTGTAGAGACATGGGGGGTTTGTAGGAGACATAATTTGGGGTTTTGAGAGAAATAAGGGGGTTTGTAGCAGACAAATGGGGGTAGGAGACAAATTGGGTTGGTGGAGACTAATGTGGGTTGTAGGAGAATAAGGGGTTTAGAGACAAATGGGGGTTTTTGTAGGGAATAATGGGGGTTTTGAGGACATAAGGGTTTGTAGGAGAAAAATTTTGGGTTTTGAAAAGAAAATTTAATGTGGGTTTTGTAGCGACATAAGGGGTTTGTAAAGAAATGGGGGTTTTGAGAATAAGGGTTTTGTGGGAGACATAATGGGGGTTTGTGGGAACTAATGTGGGTTTGGGGGGACAATGTGGGTTTGAGCAGACATAATGGGGTTTGTAGGAGCAAATGGGGTTTGGTGGGAAACTAATGTGGGTTTGTAAGAGAAAATGGGGGGTTTGTAGCAGACTAATTTTGGGGGTTTGTAGGAGACAAAATGGGGTTTGTAGGAGACAAATGGGTTTTGTAGGAGAAAATTTTTGGGGTTTTTAAGAGAAAAATTGGGGTTTGGGGAGACAAATGTGGGTTGGTAGGACCAAAGGGGTTTGTAGGGAATAATGGGGGTTTGTAGAGAATAATGTGGTTTTGTAGGACAAAGGGGTTTGTAGGGGACAATGGGTTTGTGCAGAAATAAGGGTTTGGGAGAATAAGTGGGTTTTGAAAGGGAGACAAATGGGGGTTTTGTAGGAGACAATGGGGTTTTGTGGGGAGACAAGGGGTTTGTAGGAGACATAATGTGGGTTTGTAGAGACATAATGTGGGTTTGTAGGAGACATAATGTGGGTTTGTAGGAGACATAATGTGGGTTAGGGACAAGTGGGTTGTAGCAGACAAAAGGGTTTGTGGGGAAATTAATGTGGGTTTGTAGGAGACATAATGTGGGTTTGTAAGAGAAAATGTGGGTTTTGTACGACATGGGTTTGAGGGGAAAATGGGGTTTTTTAAAGAGAAAAATGTGGTTTGTAGAAAAATGGGGGTTTTGTGGAAAACAAAAGGGGGGTTTGTAGGAGACAAGGGGTTGTAGGGAGACAATGGGGGGTGGGAGAAATAATGGGGTTTTGTGGGAAGAAAAAGGGGGTTTTGTAGGGAAAAGGGGGGGTTTTGTAGGAGACAAAGTGGGTTTGTAGAGACAATGGGGTTTGTGCAGAATAAGGGGGGGTTTTTGTGGAGGGACATAATGGGGTTTGGGGGACATAAGGGGGTTGTAGCGACAAAGGGGGTTTGTAGGGGACAAAATGGGGGGTTTGGGGGGAAATAATGTGGGTTTGGGGGGAATAAGTGGTTGTGGGAGAATTTAAGGGGTTTTTGTAGGAGACATAATGTGGGTTTGTAGGAACATAATGTGGGTTTGTAGGAGACATAATGTGGGTTTGTAGGAGACATAATGTGGGTTTGTAGGAGACAATGTGGGTTTGTAGGAGACATAATGTGGGTTGTAGGAGACATAATGTGTCGACTTAGTGGACTAATCAAATAAACACACCACAGGTGTGATGATTTCCTATGTTGAGGTAGAAATGTGTATTTCAATAGTGTGCACGTATTGAGCTTTAGGGTACAATTTACTTTGACTACGTTCAAATATTCATACTAGCAGCTGGAAGCAAACCAGACCAAAATGTGGTTGTCAGCGTGGAACACAGTCATTACTGTTTTCATAGGATCAATAAGCCAACACTAAAACACTAAGGTTGGTTTTACTCAAAGCAAGAAAAATACTGTTGAAAGATACCTCATAAGCTGACCCTATTTCTCATTAACTGACCCTATGTCTCATAAACTGACCCTAAATCGGGTCACGTGGTCAGGAAAACCTTAGGCCTACCAAAAGGTAATGGGAGGGATTTGAGTTGTGTTTACCTCTTGGTTGCTGGTGCAGCAGCATCCTTCCTAGAGCCGGAGAGGGCCGGTAACGTGCCACCACTTTTCTTTGGTAGGACAGTACCGTTGTTGACCATGGGCCTTAGAGGCAGGGCAGCCATCATGGGTCTGGCTGTAAAACAAACACACACAGTAGCACAGAGTGAGTGGCGCTTTGCATTGAACCAGCTGCAACTGATGCTCTGCCCTGAACCAGCTACAGCACACAGAAAAGACCCACTCCTCATGGTGACTAGCTGTTGGGAACTGTCATAGTCAGGTGTGAAGTGAATGAACCGGAGAGGAGATTGTGACAACAATGTAAAGGCAATAATTAACAGGAAAGGTTGAATACAATGCATTGGAGACATCCCAGCGATGTCATTAAAACCGATGACATTATAACCAGAAACTGGTTGAAATGTCATTATAACATAATTTCAACCGGTTTTGCCAAGTTTTTTCCCCGCTGGAATTGACCACATGGAAGCATACCCAATACTGTACACTTCCACTGATCTTCTGACTCGGTCTATCATTTTGAATGGAGATGGAAGTCACTAAACTGCCCTCGTCACGAGGTGTACAACTAACAGGCTGATGGGAAACTAATGGAGGAAGCCGAGTCATCGGATGACGCACTGAACGTGGCCGAGATGTTTAACTCTTGAACCCGGTATGCACATTCCACATTTCTTTACCGATGCTGGGCCAAAAAAGACTGATGACATAATGGAAGAAAAGCCCACACAGGGTTAGGGTTATATATAATATATACAGTATGCTTCTCCCGTGATCTATTTCTGCATTTACAAACATTTTGGCTGAAACAGCCTTCATCAATAGTCTTCATCAGCCTTCATCATCAGCCTTCATCCTGATCGGTTGCGTCACCACCTGGTATGGCAACTGCTTGGTATCCGACCGTAAGGCACTACGGAGGGTAGTGCGTACGGCCCAGTACATCACTGGGGCCAAGCTTCCTGCCATCCAGGACCTCTAAACTAGGTGGTGTCAGAGGAAGGCCCAAAAAATTGTCAAAGACTCCAGCCACTCTAGTCATAGACTGTTCTCTCTGCTACCGCACGGCAAGCGGTACCGGAGCGCCAAGTCTAGGTCCAAAAGGCTCCTTAACAGCTTCTACCCCCAAGCCATAAGACTGCTGAACAATTAATGAAATGGCTACCCAGACTATTTACATTGAACCCCCCTTTGTTTTTACACTGCTGCTACTCGCTGTTTATTATCTATGCATAGTCACTTTACCCCTACCTACATGTACAAATTACCTGGACTAACCTGTACACCCGCACATTGACTCAGTACCGGTACCCCCTGTATATAGCCTCATTATTGTTATTTTATTGTGTAACTTTTTTTTAAACTTTAGTTTATTTAGTAAATATTTTCTCAACTCTATTTCCTTAAAACTGGATTTTGTTGGTTAATTAAGGGCTTGTAAGTAAGCATTTCACGGTAAGGTGTACCAAAAATCTTTTTTTTTATGGTTATCAAACCTTTTGTGTTATGAAAACATTTGCATTTTTATATTTGATTACGTGTTGTATTCGGTGCATGTGACCAATACAATTTGATTTGATATTTGATTTGATCATCAGACTTAAATCAGTCTTCACCATCAGTCTTCATCATCAATCTTCATCCGCCTTCACCAGCCTTCATCAATAGCCTTCATCATCAGCCTTCATCATCAGCCTTCACCAGCCTTCATCAATAGCCTTCATCAATAGTCTTCACCAGCCTTCATCAATAGGCTTCATCATCAGCCTTCATCATCAGCCTTCATCATCAGCCTTCATCAATAGCCTTCATCATCAGCTTTCATCATCAGCCTTCATCAATAGCCTTCATCATCAGCCTTCATCATCAGACTTCATCAATGGCCTCCAACTTGACTAGACGTTGTGTCCTGTAAATTGTATGTGGATGCAGGAATAAAGAACAGGAGCAGACTTCACTTCCTTTATTAGAACTCATGCGCAGTCGGTCACACTGCTAGAACATCACTCACACCTTGAGTGACTCCCAGCGCTCCATTCTAACATCATTAGGGGCCCACTTTACTTCCTCAGCATAATTGCTAAACAGGACTGATAAGGGTTGCCAGGCCTGTATTTGTATGGATGGCAGAACAGTGGCTATAAAATATTTATCACTGCAGATAAAGCTGCTGGGGTTTGTTATGCTTGCTTTGCCCGGCTGGCATGCGCGCGTGTGTGTGTGTGTGCGCGTGCAATCTTTGATTTCTGTGTTTGCGTGTGTATGCAGCAGAATCACTCTTGGCAGGGCATACTGACAGTATATATAGCAGAATTAGACCAAACAGAGGCACCAGGCAGACACAGAGAGAGAGAGAGAGAGAGAGAGAGAGAGAGAGAGAGAGAGAGAGAGAGAGAGAGAGAGAGAGAAGAGGAGTGATGACTCTCACCGCCAAAATATGCATAATGTGACTAAATTCAGCTACATAACTAGGTGCACTGCGAATGATGATGTTCTCACAGCTGTTGTCTGAATTGTAGCCACATAATATGATTTAGTGTGGGTATCAGGACATGCTAGAATGAAGGAAAAACCATGCAAGTGTTTCCACAGCTACCACCTCTCTATGGAATGGAATGGCATGCAGTCTGGTGCAGTCCGGTGCAGTAGGGGAGGGAATGGCCGGCAGGGATGTAGCTCAGTTGGTAGAGCATGGCGTTTGCAATGCCAGGGTTGTGGGTTCGATTCCCACGGGGGGCCAGTATGAAAAAAAATATATATAAAAAAAATAATGAATGCACTCACTAACTGTAAGTCGCTCTGGATAAGAGCGTCTGCTAAATGACTAAAATGTAAATGTAAATGTAATGCTCTCCATTGACCGTGTCACAGTAGACGCCAGGGCTCAGTAGACACCAGGGTTCAGTAGACACCAGGGTTCAGTAGACGCCAGGGCTCAGTAGACACCAGGGCTCAGTAGACACCAGGGTTCAGTAGACACCAGGGTTCAGTAGACACCAGGGCTCAGTAGACACCAGGGCTCAGTAGACACCAGGGTTCAGTAGACACCAGGGCTCAGTAGACACCAGGGTTCAGTAGACACCAGGGCTCAGTAGACGCCAGGGTTCAGTAGACACCAGGGCTCAGTAGACACCAGGGTTCAGTAGACACCAGGGCTCAGTAGACACCAGGGTTCAGTAGACACCAGGGTTCAGTAGACACCAGGGTTCAGTAGACACCAGGGCTCAGTAGACACCAGGGTTCAGTAGACACCAGGGTTCAGTAGACACCAGGGTTCAGTAGACACCAGGGTTCAGTAGACACCAGGGCTCAGTAGACACCAGGGTTCAGTAGACACCAGGGTTCAGTAGACACCAGGGTTCAGTAGACACCAGGGCTCAGTAGTATAATGTACATTTTAAAGACATCCCTTTCATTATGTCATAGGTAGTAGGGATGTCTGGAAATGTACACCATACATTAAACACAGTAGACTCCATAGACACATGGCAGTGCTCAGTAGGGTTGCACAAAGCAGGCCATGTTAGAGGGGACAGATCCTACCTGGCTTTCCACCATTGCTTTCTGATGAGGGGGACCTTTTCATCAAAGCTGGGTCTACAGCCGTAGGTACACAGACCCACAACAACAACAGAGTCCAGGGGAGGAGAACAGGAGGATGAAAGAGTATCAGAAGTAGAAGAAGAGATAGATGGAGGAGAGGAAGAGATAGATGGAGGAGAGGAAGAGAGAGATGGAGGAGAGGAAGAGATAGATGGAGGAGAGGAAGAGATAGATGGAGGAGAGGAAGAGATAGATGGAGGAGAGGAAGAGATAGATGGAGGAGAGGAAGAGATAGATGGAGGAGAGGAAGTGATAGATGGAGGAGAGGAAGTGATGGGACTGGAATGGGTGACTTTCTGTTTGTCACCGAAAGGGGTTAAAGTTTTGCATCTTTTTGAATTCAGTATGTATGTTTGTGTCTGTCTGTGTGTGTCTACCTGTGTGTGTCTGCCTGTTTGTGTCTACCTGTGTGTGTGTGTGTGTATGTTTACCTGTGTGTGTGTGCGTGTGTCTACCTGTGTGTGTCTGCCTGTGTGTGTCTACTGTGTGTGTTCTATGAGTTCTTTGTGTGTACAATACATCTGTGTGTGCATACACATGTACAGTGGGGAAAAATAGTATTTAGTCAGCCACCAATTGTGCAAGTTCTCCCACTTAAAAAGATGAGAGAGGCCTGTAATTTTCATCATAGATACACGTCAACTATGACAGACAAAATGAGGAAAAAAAATCCAGAAAATCACATTGTAGGATTTTTTATGAATTTATTTGCAAATTATGGTGGAAAATAAGTATTTGGTCAATAACAAAAGTTTCTCAATACTTTGTTATATACCCTTTGTTGGCAATGACATAGGTCAAACGTTTTCTGTAAGTCTTCACAAGGTTTTCACACACTGTTGCTGGTATTTTGGCCCATTCCTCCATGCAGATCTCCTCTAGAGCAGTGATGTTTTGGGGCTGTCGCTGGGCAACACGGACTTTCAACTCCCTCCAAAGATTTTCTATGGGGTTGAGATCTGGAGACTGGCTAGGCCACTCCAGGACCTTGAAATGCTTCTGCGCCCGTTGCTCGGGCGGTGTGTTTGGGATCATTGTCATGCTGAAAGACCCAGCAACGTTTCATCTTCAATGCCCTTGCTGATGGAAGGAGGTTTTCACAAAAAAATCACACGATACATGGCCCCATTCATTCTTTCCTTTACACGGATCAGTCGTCCTGGTCCCTTTGCAGAAAAACAGCCCCAAAGCATGATGTTTCCACCCCCATGCTTCACAGTAGGTATGGTGTTCTTTGGATGCAACTCAGCATTCTTTGTCCTCCAAACACGACGAGTTGAGTTTTTACCAAAAAGTTATATTTTGGTTTCATCTGACCATATGACATTCTCCCAATCCTCTTCTGGATCATCCAAATGCACTCTAGCAAACTTCAGACGGGCCTGGACATGTACTGGCTTAAGCAGGGGGAAACGTCTGGCACTGCAGGATTTGAGTCCCTGGCGGTGTAGTGTGTTACTGATGGTAGGCTTTGTTACTTTGGTCCCAGCTCTCTGCAGGTAATTCACTAGGTCCCCCCGTGTGGTTCTGTGATTTTTGCTCACCGATCTTGTGATCATTTTGACCCCACGGGGTGAGATCTTGCGTGGAGCCCCAGATCGAGGGAGATTATCAGTGGTCTTGTATGTCTTCCATTTCCTAATAATTGCTCCCACAGTTGATTTCTTCAAACCAAGCTGCTTACCTATTGCAGATTCAGTCTTCCCAGCCTGGTGCAGGTCTACAATTTTGTTTCTGGTGTCCTTTGACAGCTCTTTGGTCTTGGCCATAGTGGAGTTTGGAGTGTGACTGTTTGAGGTTGTGGACAGGTGTCTTTTATACTGATAACAAGTTCAAACAGGTGCCAATAATACAGGTAACGAGTGGAGGACAGAGGAGCCTCTTAAAGAAGAAGTTACAGGTCTGTGAGAGCCAGAAATCTTGCTTGTTTGTAGGTGACCAAATACTTATTTTCCACCATAATTTGCAAATAAATTCATTAAAAATCCTACAATGTGATTTTCTGGAAAAAAAATTCTCAATTTGTCTGTCATAGTTGACGTGTACCTATGATGAAAATTACAGGCCTCTCTCATCTTTTTAAGTGGGAGAACTTGCACAATTGGTGGCTGACTAAATACTTTTTTCCCCCACTGTACGTGTGTATATGTGTGTATATGTGTGTGTATATGTGTGTGTGTGTGTGTATATGTGTGTATACACAGTTGAAGTCGGAAGTTTACATACACCTTAGCCAAATACATTTAAACTCAGTTTTTCACAATTCCTGACATTTAATCCTAGTAAAAAGTCCCTGTTTTAGGTCAGTTAGGATCACCACTTTATTTTAAGAATGTGAAATGTCAGAATAATAGTAGAAATAATTATTTATTTCAGCTTTTATTTATTTCATCACATTCCCAGTGGGTCAGAAGTTTACATACACTCAATTAGTATTTGGTAGCATTGTCTTTAAATTGTTTAACTTGGGTCAAACGTTTCAGGTAGCCTTCCACAAGCTTCCCACAATAAATTGGGTGAATTTTGGCCCATTCCTCCTGACAGAGCTGGTGTAACTGAGTCAGGTTTGTAGGCCTCCTTGCTCGCACACGCTTTTTCAGTTCTGCCCACACATTTTCTATGGGATTGAGGTCAAGGCTTTGTGATGGCCACTCCAATACCTTGACTTTGTTGTCCTTAAGCCATTTTGCCACAACTTTGGAAGTATGCTTGGGGTCATTGTCCATTTGGAAGACCAATTTGCGACCATGCTTTAACTTCCTGACTGATGTCTTGAGATGTTGCTTCAATATATCCACATCATTTCCTTCCTCATGATGCCATCTATTTTGTGAAGTGCACCAGTCCCTCCTGCAGCAAACCACCCCCACAGCATGACGCTGCCACCTCCGTGCTTCATGGTTGGGTTGGTGTTCTTCGGCTTGCAAGCATCCCCCTTTTTCCTCCAAACATAACGATGGTCATTATGGCCAAACAGTTCTATTTTTGTTTCATCAGACCAGAGGACATTTCTCCAAAAAGTACGATCTTTGTCCCCATGTGCAGTTGCAAACCGTAGTCTGGCTTTTTTATGGCGGTTTTGGAGCAGTTGCTTCTTCCTTGCATAGCGGCCTTTCAGGTTATGTCGATATAGGACTCGTTTTACTGTGGATATAGATACTTTTGTACCTGTTTCCTCCAGCATCTTCACAAGGTCCTTTGCTGTTGTTCTGGGATTGATTTGCACTTTTCGCACGAAAGTACATTCATCTCTAGGAGACAGAACGCGTCTCCTTCCTGAGCGGTATGACGGCTGCGTGGTCCCATGGTGTTTATACTTGCGTACTATTGTTTGTACAGATGAACGTGGTACCTTCAGGCGTTTGGAAATTGCTCCCAAGGATGAACCAGACTTGTGGAGGTCTGGCTGATTTCTTTTGATTTTCCCCTGATGCCAAGCAAAGAGGCACTGAGTTTGAAGGTAGGCCTTGAAATACATCCACAGGGACACCTCCAATTGACTCAAATTATGTCAATTAGCCTATCAGAAGCTTCTAAAGCCATGACATCATTTTCTGGAATTTTCCAAGCTGTTTAAAGGCACAGTCAACTTAGTGTATGTAAACTTCTGACCCACTGGAATTGTGATACAGTGAATTATAAGTGAAATAATCTGTCTGTAAATGTCACGATCGTCGGGAACAGAGGACCAAGGCGCAGCGTTGAATGCGAACATACTTTTTATTTAGTGATTCCACGAAACAAAACAACAAACGATAACGTGACGTCCACGGTCTACACAAACCACACTGGAACACGGAACAAGATCCCACAAACACTGAGGGAAAACAGACTGTTTAAATATGGTTCCCAATCAGAGACAACCAGCAACAGCTGACACTCGTTGCCTCTGATTGGGAACCACTCTGGCCAACATAGAAATACAAGACCTAGAATGGAAAACAAAGAGCACAAAACATAGACTCTACACACCCTGGCTCAACATAAAAGAGTCCCTAGAGCCAGGGCGTGACAGTACCCCCCCCCAAAGGCGCGGACTCCGACCGCGCCAACAGAACACCACAGGGGAGGGACCGGGTGGGCACTCCGCCTTGGCGGCGGATCCGGCTCTGGGCATGATCCCCACTCCCTCTCTAACCCCCCACAGTACCCCTGGTCCGGTCTGGCCCTGCTGGCCGGAGCTGGACTGAACACTGGTGGAGCGGATTGCTCTAGCTCCGACGTGGAGCAGCTGACCGGTACCGGACCAGGCACCGGTGGAACAGGCACGGGCCGTGCCGGACTGACGACGCACACCACTGGCTTGGTGTGGGGAGCAGGAACAGGCCGAGCCGGGCTGACGAAACGTACCACTGACTTGGTGCGGAGAGCAGGAATGGACCGGGCCGGGCTGGCGACGTGCACCACTGACTTGGTGCGGGGAGCAGGAACAGACCGGGCCGGACTGGCGACGCGCACCATCGGCTTGGTGCGGGGAACAGGCCGGACCGGGCTGGCGACGCGCACCATAGGCTCGGTGCGGGGAGCAGGAACAGGCCGGGCCGGGCTGGCGACGCGCACCATAGGCTTGGTGCGGGGAGCATGAACAGACCGGGCCGGACTGGCGACACGCCCCATCGGCTTGGTGCGGGGAGCAGGAACAGGCCGGACCGGGCTGGCGATGCGCACCATCGGCTTGGTGCGGGGAGCAGGAACAGGCCGGACCGGGCTGGCGACGCGCACCATAGGTTTGGTGCGGGGAGCAGGAACAGGCCGGGCCGGGCTGGCGACGCGCACCATAGGCTTGGTGCGGGGAGCAGGAACAGGCCGGGCCGGGCTGGCGACGCGCACCATAGGCTCGGTGCGGGGAGCAGGAACAGGCCGGGCCGGGCTGACGACACGCACCACAGGCTCGATGCGAGGAACAGGAACAGGCCGGACCGTACTGGGGACACACACCACTGGCCCTACGCAGGGATCAGGAACGGGCCGGACCGGACTGGTAACACACCCCAGTACCTCTCGCCGTGCCTCCACACTTTCCCTCTCCTCTGTGACCAGTGGCCCCCTTAACCTGGCGGCCTCCTCTGCACACCCGCTGGACCGCTCCATCGCGGCCTCCTGCTGCCCCGTCGTCCACGGCGTGAGCCCCCCCCTAAAAATGTTCTGGGGGTCTCTCCTCCCCGTGGACCAGGCCTCCCTAGTTCTCGCCAGACTCTCACCCCACTGCTCCAAAGTCCAACCTCTCTGCTCTTCACTTGGCTTGGCCCAGTCGAGACTCTTAATCCACTGCTCCATAGTCCAACCTCTCTGCTCTTCACTTGGCTTGGCCCAGTCGAGACTCCTACTCCACTGATCCCAAGTCCTTCCTCTCTCCTCTTCACGCTGCTTGGTCCAGTTTTGGTGGGATCTTCTGTCACGATCGTCGGGAACAGAGGACCAAGGCGCAGCGTTGAATGCTAACATACTTTTTATTTAGTGATTCCACGAAACAAAACAACAAACGATAACGTGACGTCCACGGTCTACACAAACCACACTGGAACACGGAACAAGATCCCACAAACACTGAGGGAAAACAGACTGTTTAAATATGGTTCCCAATCAGAGACAACAAGCAACAGCTGACACTCGTTGCCTCTGATTGGGAACCACTCTGGCCAACATAGAAATACAAGACCTAGAATGGAAAACAAAGAGCACAAAACATAGACTCTACACACCCTGGCTCAACATAAAAGAGTCCCTAGAGCCAGGGCGTGACAGTAAACAATTGTTGGAAATATTACTTGTGTCATGCACAAAGTAGATGTCCTAACTGCCTTGCCAAAACAATAGTTTGTTAAAAAGAAATTTGTGGAGTGGTTGAAAAACAAGTTTTAATGACTCCAACCTAAGTGTATGTAAACTTCTGACTTCAACTGTATGTGTGTGTGTGTATGTGTGTGTATATGTGTATGTACGTGTGTATATGTCTGTATATGTGTATGTGTGTGTATATGTGTGTGTGTATATGTGTATGTGTGTGTGTATATGCGTGTATATGTGTGTGTGTGTGTATATATGTGTGTATATGTGTGTATGTGTGTATACAGTGGGGAGTATTTGATACACTGCCGATTTTGCAGGTTTTCCTACTTACAAAGCATGTAGAGGTCTGTAATTTGTATCATAGGTACACTTCAACTGTGAGAGACGGAATCTAAAACAAAAATCCAGAAAATCACATTGTATGATTTTTAAGTAATTAATTTGCATTTTATTGCATGACATAAGTATTTGATACATCAGAAAAGCATAACTTAATATTTGGTACAGAAACCTTTGTTTGCAATTACAGAGATCATACGTTTCCTGTAGGTCTTGACCAGGTTTGCACACACTGCAGCAGGGATTTTGGCCCACTCCTCCATACAGACCTTCTCCAGATCCTTCAGGTTTCGGGGTTGTCGCTGGGCAATACGGACTTTCAGCTCTCTCCAAATATTTTCTATTGGGTTCAGGTCTGGAGACTGGCTAGGCCACTCCAGGACCTTGAGATGCTTCTTACGGAGCCACTCCTTAGTTGCCCTGGCTGTGTGTTTCGGGTCGTTGTCATGCTGGAAGACCCAGCCAAGACCCATCTTCAATGCTCTTACTGAGGGAAGGAGGTTGTTGGCCAAGATCTCGCGATACATGGCCCCATCCATCCTCCCCTCAATACGGTGCAGTCGTCCTGTCCCCTTTGCAGAAAAGCATCCCCAAAGAATGATGTTTCCACCTCCATGCTTCACGGTTGGGATGGTGTTCTTGGGGTTGTACTCATCCTTCTTCTTCCTCCAAACACGGCGAGTGGAGTTTAGACCAAAAAGCTATATTTTTGTCTCATCAGACCACATGACCTTCTCCCATTCCTCCTCTGGATCATCCAGATGGTCATTGGCAAACTTCAGACAGGCCTGGACATGCGCTGGCTTGAGCAGGGGGACTTTGCGTGCGCTGCAGGATTTTAATCTATGACGGCGTAGTGTGTTACTAATGGTTTTCTTTGAGACTGTGGTCCCAGCTCTCTTCAGGTCATTGACCAGGTCCTGCCGTGTAGTTCTGGGCTGATCCCTCACCTTCCTCATGATCATTGATGCCCCACGAGGTGAGATCTTGCATGGAGCCCCAGAACGAGGGTGATTGACCGTCATCTTGAACTTCTTCCATTTTCTAATAATTGCGCCAACAGTTGTTGCCTTCTCACCAAGCTGCTTGCCTATTGTCCTGTAGCCCATCCCAGCCTTGTGCAGGTCTACAATTTTATTCTTGATGTCCTTAATGCAAATTAATTACTTAAAAATCATACAATGTGATTTTCTGGATTTTTGTTTTAGATTCCGTCTCTCACAGTTTAAGTGTACCTATGATAAAAATTACAGACCTCTACAGGCTTTGTAAATAGGAAAACCTGCAAAATCGGCAGTGTATCAAATACTTGTTCTCCCCACTGTATGTGTGTATATGTATATGTGTGTATATGTGTGTGTGTGTTTACCTGTATATGTGTATATATGTGTATATGTGTGTGTACGCGTGTCTACATCTGTGCTTGTATGTGTGTGACTCAGTTACCTTTGGTGGGCCCCCTCCTATTGGTCACGGTGTTTTGCTCCTCAGAGATGCTGAGGCGGCGCACCACGTCGGCCAGCGCCGACTTGAGCAGCTGGATCTCGTCCTCCTGCATCTGGACACGCTGCTCCAGGGAGGCGATGCGGTCCGTCACCTCCATGCTGCTGGCTGCCGACACACTGTCATCTGGGGACGACACACACGCACGCACGCACAAACACACACACACACACACACACACACACAATGGTGGTCACATGTATCTCACAGGCTCCTAGAGTGTTGTTGCAGTAGCTTCTGTATTGATTATGGCTTTCTCTCTCTCTGTGTCCTTGAATGATTTTGGTATTAGCGTAGTTTAGTACATCTGTGCACCATCCATGGAACATCAGCATCTGACAAATCTACAGAACAGTGGTGGCGGTGCCAAATGTACCGTGATGCCCGTCACCGTCCCCATCCGTCAGATCAATAGCCCCACACAGCCCCAGCCAGCCACCCAGCAGCCGACACCCCTCAAACTCAAAGGGCAAAGGCTTTTGTACAAGACAGCTTTATTCATGAGCTCTCTGTCTGTCTGTCTTTGTCATGTCTGTCATGTCTGTTCGCATATTAGCCTCCCGGCCTGTTGGTCTGTTTGTCCATCCGTTCAAAGCCCTTCCTCGTGGCCTCCAGCTGCCCCCACTTTAAATTCACTTCGCATCCCTACAGTAATGATTACAGGCATTACTGTACCCTGTTGATTAATGCCCCATTGGAGAGACAGGCCAGGCTAAGCCTCAACACCGTTTCACACTGGGCCCATGCTGCCGGATAGCCTTCAGACATAGTTCTATAATAGGCTACCGTTAGTCATGGGAGTACACCGTAGATGGATAGATCTGAATGAGATATACTAACATCAAGGTCAAGGTGGTGTGGTCTTCTTTCATGGCTCGTCCCTTTCAATTTGATCTGCACTACAGTCAATCTCTTAGTAGGTTAGATAGGTTCTGCATGCTCCATGGTTCCAGGATCATTGGAGTGTTACGTTAACCTAACAGGTTACACTACAAATTATCTGAACTCACATTAGATTGATTTCCCTTAATGAAAACCAACCATGGACTGTAGATTCTAGAAAATTGGCTTTGATGGGAAATAAAGGTGCACAAACCAAATCAATCACGATGACAAATAAATAATGAGGAAGACGTCTAACTTACTTACTAGGCCTTTAAACATACGATACTCAAACAAAGGGCCGCCTAAACCCAATGTGAAGGCTTTTTATTAGACTATAAATGATTCCTTTAATGGAGGCCTTCTTTAGATTCAGCTGTAAAGCCGGATCTGCTATTACAGCGATGTTCTCTAAAGAAGTACAAAGCCCAAATCTCAGTGCTAGCAGCTGCTTGGGGCATGGTACGAGCACGGATACAATGACTGCCTGTCACAGCCCCGATACCGCTGCGATTGGTTAGCCGATTGTACCGCTCACTAATGTCACCTGGGCTCTCAATGGAATTGACTACTCCCACAGCAGACTGCTCAAAAACAGAGAGAATAAGTCAGGCAATGGAATCAGAGTAAACACACATCGGTGTTCTCCTCCCCGAAAGATGCTCCTTCATGAGACAGTACCGGTCCCTGCGATGATGCCGACCAGTTCCTGAGAAGGTTCTCAAGCGCTAATTGAATGTTAACTGTCCCCAAGGAGGAAGGACCATTGCTTGTCAATCCCTGGCACAGGAAGGACAATTGCTTGCCAGTCCCTGGTACAGGAAGGACCATTGCTTGTCAATCCCTGGTACAGGAAGGACCATTGCTTGTCGATCCCTGGTACAGGAAATACCATTGTTTGCCAGAGCCTGGGCCTGGTACCAAAAAGGTTGAGAAACACTGGATCAGGTCATAGGACAGAAGATGATATATTTCTAAGCGGAAAGCCGTGAGAAAAAGAACGCACAAAACATTCTGTTTGTTGTCTTTCAATTGCACCTTGTTTTGTCTCGAAGCCGAGACGTTTGTGTAGTGGGCTTGTATCTATCTGGCTGTCCTCTTTAACCTCCGTGTCAATACCAATCCGCTCAGGGTAGATGCTGTCCCAAGAAGTGTCAGACTCAATTAGAGAACAATCCTTGTAGCCGCTCCTCTCTCTCTCTGCTAACCCATCCACCTGTCCATCAACATTCTCCCAAATGGTTCTCCATCAACATATTCCTCACTGTGATTACCTTTCTCCAAAAATAACCAATGTCGTGACGGGTGAACGGCCACGTCTGCTTCTTTAAGCGCATGCGGATCAACCGATCCTTGGCGTTTCGACCTAAGGCAGCCAAGAGGAAGCAAGGCACTCTACTTTGCACCACAGACATTTCTGAGTAGCTTTTTTCAAGCACCTTATGCCATTAATGCACCTTAACCTCCCCCTTTCCCCCCCATCCATTTCACAAGCTTCTGGCAGCCTCCGACAGGTCTAGTTAACGGTGCACCGAGGAGACAGGAGTAAAAAGGGGCTGCTGTGGATTGTGCATGATCAAAGCAGAGGGTGACTCTCTTTCTGTCTATGTATTCCGGTGTAACATCATTAATAATACATCTCGTCTGCCTGCGCTATCTATCTATCTCGCTGACTCACTCTGCTTGACTTTATATTAGCCAGAATGGCGGCATCTGAGGTGAGATTGAGATGAGAAGTGAAGGAGAAATGAACAAGAAATGAAAGAGAAATGGAAAGGAATCGCCACAGAGGACTCATCTTTGTTGCTTCATAAGATTATCTCAGAATGTTGTCATATTTCTAGGCTGTTGCCTCTCTAGGAGAAAATATATCAGTCCTAGCTGTGTGATTGATGTGCATTATATTTCCCTTCAGTATGCTGGAGAGGCCAAACAATAGAGCTAAATTGACTTATGAAAACGGGACTGTAAGCACCGACAGCAGGCGTCACATCTCTCAGGACCAGTGAGTCATGCTACAGACACCATTTCTACACGAAATCCATCTGGCGGCCTGGCTTCACTGAAAGCCTAGCAGATTAGCACAAAGTGCTTTCCAAAAGGCAGATTTAACCTAACACTGGCTCTCAAATGGAAAATGATTAAATCGTGGGGCTGATACGAGTCTTTCAACCAATCCTTTTTTTCCTCAAGGCCATGAACAAAGATCACAATTCATTGACTGGCTTGCAGGATGACACCTAAAGTTCATCATCCTCCAGATTCAATTTGTCTGAACGGTCACTCCCTGATTGAGAAGCTGTGAATCAAGTCAGATAAAATTGAGTTAAAAGCATATTGTTGGGGTTAGTCTAGTGCAGGGATGGGAAACTTTGATGGGGGCGGGGGGCCACAAAAAATCGGAACTCATCATGAGGGCCCGCAGTTGCTCGCGGGTCTGCGTACCCACATGTGCGTACAGCCCCCCTTTTGACAGCGGAGAGAAATATTTGACGTATAATTTTTTGCAATTCTACACATTTTGCCATGGGACAGAGAGGAACATTTGCTGTTTTACAGCTAATTTCCTGCAATTCTACACATTTTTCCATAGGGTGGAAAGAAATGTTTACAGGTTTAAATATGATATCTGAGTGAGACTGAAATCAAATAGGGGGCCCCCACGCCGGTAATTCGACAATGATTGCTAAGTGTAGATAGCTGGCCGATAGACTAACTTACCAATCTAAAAATGTTTTGCTGACGTGCGCTAATTGAGTGACTATAAGTGACTGACATCACAAGGGAACAACTAGTTGCCCATCCCTGGTGGGTAACACCACGCACCACCTTTCAGCGCATATCTGCCCGGGTCCCATCGCTAATTAGGCACAAAACACTCACATTGTAGTATCCAACCTAATCTAACCCAGCTGTCATTGAGAGGTGGTGGGTCAACTGACAGAGGTGTATTAGCCAATGAGCTGGACAGATTACAGTTTGTCCATTTGGCTAACGCACGCCCTGGCTTCTGCTGGAACGGCCGGGGCTTAGGGCCTATAAATAGTACGGGGAGGATCAGAGGGACCGCTTATATTTTTCGATGACCTGTGTAAAAGAGGAAAGAAAGGAGGAAGATTCTAGATGATCGAGGGGCCCAACTTCCCCCTGGGACCCCACCAGATGTCCTTGGAGGAATACTCAAGAATCCTCCTGACATCAGCCACATCCTTCCTCAGGTCAAACAGCGGTCAACGTGTAACAGCATTAGAACCACACGCCCTCCCCCAGTTTTACACCCTGCTGGCTTAGGGTTTCATTAGGGAACGGTCGGTCTGACCTAGTCCTGCATTACCATACTCCCAAGACAAACGTGAAGAAGCCTGGAAATCAAGGCGAGGTCACCTCAGAGATGGATCTTGGTGCGTCTGGGGAGATGAAAGAGATATGTGAAGCATTGTGTGGTGTTTACAAGGTCTGGTTGAAGGGATACTAGTGCTAAGAGATTAGTGCTTTTTGAGGTCGGTTTGTTTTCAGTTAGATTATTTAAAAAATAATCACGATTTCAGTTTAGATGAATTTGTTTAGTTTTTTACATTAAATGCACTATGCATTATGTGGGTTGAATGCTGTAACAACACAGAATAAAACTATTAACAAAAGTCCCATGATGGTAGTGACTGCCCATTACTGCTTATCACTTATTAACCATCAGTTATTCACATTACTTGAATAAAACATTTCAGTTGTTGTGTATATTACATTTGTTTTATTTGATGACTTTATTATTTCATTCCAAGTCATCATCTCATCTCTATAGAGCTGCTGTCTGACTAAATCACTATATTAGTAGTTTCTTCAAAGTAAATAAGGCAGGCTTTTATGACTGCTGAATACCAACTATCAATCACTTAGATCATGTATTTTCAGGTAGAGATACCTCACGAAGAAACTGCTCTCTTGGTATCCACTCTTGATCAAGCATTCTTCTTTCACCTACATAGCGGGCGCAAAAGAAACACAGACCGGACAAATAGCCGCGCAATGGATTATGGTCATTCAGATAAAACTATAAACAAATAACAAAATAATTGAACTGTCTGTCAATTAGTTGTTTAAAAAAACTAAAAATAACCAATATTTCGGTTAATTGCTCAGCACTAAGGGATACATGAAAACTGAGTGCTAGGAGCACAATGCTAGGAGCACAATGCTAGGAGCACAATGCTGGGAGCACAATGCTGGGAGCACAATGCTAGGAGCACAATGCTAGGAGCACAATGCTAGGAGCACAATGCTGGGAGCACAATGCTGGGAGCACAATGGGTCGTCCCCCTCCACCGATTCTGTCAAACCCCCTCTGCTCTGTCTGTAAAAGGTCCCAGGAGAGTGGCAAGCACTGGGGAGATGGGTGGACCGACTGTTGTTTGCTATATAGGCTATAGTCTAATCATACAATTTCAGTCAGAGGACAGTCAAGAGATCCAGCCTGGCAGTGCTCTCTGAGGCAGGACCAACCACAGCAGCCTCCTTTTCCCCCACACGTCCACCCACACAAACACACACACGTGCAACTCCACACACACACACACACACACACACACACACACACTCACACTCACCCCTCCATTCCCCACCAGGCTCAGTGGCACGAGACCAGAGAAGGAACACAGAGGAGTCCCATTGCGTTCCTCTCCAGAGCTTCTGTTAAAGAGCGAGCGGCCACAATGCAGGCAGAGTATTAAGGAGGGGGATACTGTGCCCATATTGGTCAATGGTTATCACTATAAACTCAAGGGGGGGTTGGGTTGGGGGTATAGATGTATCTTCTCATTGATGCAGGTTCTGTTTACCTCAACTGACATTGTAGTGTGTAGGTCTCTGGGACAACAACAACAACAGCTGGGTGAACATGGGTAAGATGCCACAAAATGTCCGCTCTCTCTCTTGATTCCTGTCCACGCTAAAACATCTGTCCAAGGTCATTTTTATTAAATTATTTTACTCTCCTAAATTATTTTTGCTCTCCTATTAACAGTAAATACATGTTTTATAGGCACTGTGTGTAAAAGCAATCTGGCCTCATCTGAGAAGAGACATTTACCAGAGCCAACAAGCAAAAAAACTAATTTGTATGCCAACCAATTAAACAGGGCTCTAATCGTCCAGTTGACTAGTAAAACTGGACACTAACAAAGAAAGGTACAGCTGATACCATGTGTTGCAATGGCCGCACAGGGCTGGTAACGTTGTATGATATTGGGATCCTGTCTCTATCCAGATGAAGAACTCCCTCCCACCTTTCTACATTCATCATCCACGCATTCCCTAGGACCCGCTCCAAGCCTCGCCCAGGCCCCAGCTTACGGTAAGTTACTCACTCCATCATAGAACACAGCAAAAACTGATAGAACGCAGCATAGAAATGAGGCAGCCTTTTCTGCTGACTCATCACCAATCTCTATGGGAGGAGGGTACACCAGTGCCCTGATGGCAATTAAGGATTCACACACACACACACACACACACACACATACACACAGCTTTGACTTTAAGAAGTGGGGCAGAACATAAGGGCCATATATATATGTCATGGTTTGCTCGACTCCCTACTTTGACACAATGCTCTTTTCAGTGTGCCCGATTGGCCAACCTTTTCTCCCACAAACAAGGCTTTGTGCACGAATAACAAACGGCAGGGAACTTTGGGCTTATTCAGACAGTGTTGTTGTAAGAGTTGGGATTTACATGGTGTGGAAATCAAATGAGAAGAGAAACATTGGACAATCAGGGACGTTCCAGGCCAGATACGATGTATGGGCCTGATCATATGTCAAGCAGTTGGCTTAGAAGAATGGCCCAGAAATGCAACCTTGTTTATAAAACTATCCTTATAGGGGCACAAAGACCGCATAAAGGCAGAGTAAAACTTAACTAGTATTTGAGGGGAAAGACTGAACCACCAAAAGCTACTTGAATACTTTTGAAAATGAATTTCATTGATCTCATTCTCTTTATTCCCTTAGATGGGATATTTAATGTTTTCTATATATATTTCTCTGTATAAACTGGGTGGGTCGAGCCCTGAATGCTGATTGGCTGGCAGCCGTGGTATATCAGACCGTATACCACTGGTATGACAAAACATTTATTTGTACTGCTCTAATTAGGTTGGTAACCAGTTTATAATGGCAATAAGGCACCTCGGGGGTTTGTGATATATGGCCAATATACCACGGCTAAGGGCTGTATCCAGGCACTCTGTGTTGCGTCGTGCATAAGAACAGCCCTTAGCCGTGGTATATTGGCCATATCCCACACCCCCTCTGGCCTTATTGCTTAAGTATACAACCACAAGCTAATGGGAATGGCATCTCTTAGCCATCCATCTACTTAACTGGGCTTATTTCCCATTTCCCCCTGTAATAACAGCAATCAACCAATCAAACCACTCAGCTCTGAGAGACACTCTAACCAGCATCAGGTTAATTATATCTGGTAAGATTAGAACTGGGCAATGAAAATATGGCTTTGATTTATAAGGTGAAGCCAGGACATGTGATGGGCCCTGGCCTTGGGGTGGGGTAGTATGCAAATACAGAGAATTACACGATAATTAAATAACTGCGCTCACCGCTCAGTGATCACCTTCTCATACTACATTTACATTTTACATTTTAGTAGACGCTCTTATCCAGAGCGACACATACATACATTATTTGTATTTTATTTTTCATACTGCCCCCCCCCCCCCCCTGGAAACGAACCCACAACCCTGGCGTTGCAAACGCCATGCTCTACCAACTGAGCTACATCCCTGCCGGCCATTCCCTCCCCTACCCTGGGCCAATTGTGCGCTGCCCCATGGGTCTCCCGGTCGCGGCCGGCTACGTCAGAGCCTGGAATCGAAACCAGGATCTCTAGTGGCACAGCTAGCACTGCGATGCAGTGCCTTAGACCACTGCGCCACTCGGGGGATACTAATTGAATTCATCCACTGGTCATAATATTTTCAGTGAAACATACATTACAGTTGGCTTACTGGTCTAACTATTTACATATTAAATCCAAATACCAGATTGGAATAATCCTGTTAGCTCCAGAATTTGTTATGAACAAACCTTTGTTTCCCGTAGAGTTGTGCTGAATCCTTTTAACATCAGGGTTGTGTTCCCTATTACATGCAGAAAAGGTTTTAAAACAATTTTCTAACGGAAAACGAAAATGAATGTTTCTTATTGGACAAGTCCAGGACGTCCCTCTCAGTTTTGGTCCCTTGTCTTTCGGTTGGTATCCAACGAGCACGACCCAGACGAGGAATGAGGAGATACCTCCTCAACGTTAACCAGAGCACTAAACAGCTTCTCCCCGGAATCCTGCTGCTGAAAGTTTGATGATTTATGACCCCTCCAGCTCCCTGTACTAAACTGCAAAGCCCCAGCAGTAGAATACCTCTCGCACCAACACTTCCACACATCCAATAGAACATTGCACTTTTATCATGCTCTCCCATTGTTATTCATACGCATGAAATGCAGCTCAAGGAATGCTTGTGTGGAGGAGTTGTATTCCCCCTGCATGTGTTTCATGACCTCATTATCTGTCTGCATCTTACACATTCAAAATGCTAGCGGCTTATACTTCCATCCCCCGCCCCCCCCCCAAACACAGACACTCTCACTGCTGTTTCCACTCTCCCTTCCACAGATGGGAACATTACGAGGAAAAGAGGCGATGACCTGCTGTCACTAACCTCCTTATTACACTCATCCTCACAGTAGGGCACCTCAGGAAGCATTAGCTACACTATGTATTTCAGACATGTATTTAGCACGCGCCTTTACGCTGTTCTCTGCGTGTTCCATAGTTTAATAAGGGTCATCGTGGGTTGATGACGCCGTGTTCCATAGTTTAATAAGGGTCATCGTGGGTTGATGACGCCGTGTTCCATAGTTTAATAAGGGTCATCGTGGGTTGATGACACCGTGTTCCATAGTTTAATAAGGGTCATCGTGGGTTGATGATGCCGTGTTCCATAGTTTAATAAGGGTCATCGTGGGTTGATGACGCCGTGTTCCATAGTTTAATAAGGGTCATCGTGGGTTGATGACGCCGTGTTCCATAGTTAATAAGGGTCATCGTGGGTTGATGACACAGTGTTCCATAGTTAATAAGGGTCATCGTGGGTTGATGACACAGTGTTCCATAGTTAATAAGGGTCATCGTGGGTTGATGACACAGTGTTCCATAGTTAATAAGGGTCATCGTGGGTTGATGACACAGTGTTCCATAGTTAATAAGGGTCATCGTGGGTTGATGACACCGTGTTCCATAGTTTAATAAGGGTCATCGTGGGTTGATGATGCCGTGTTCCATAGTTAATAAGGGTCATCGTGGGTTGATGGAAGAACAGGCAGAATGCAAAGATGAAAGGAAAATCATGGCCATGCTGTCACTGTATGTATGTATGATACACAACATGAAATGACTTGCCCGATGTTTGATGAAACAGATGTTAACTTCTCCAGTATATCTGTTTTACTGGACACTTAGACATTGATGAATTAGACTAATTGCATTTGAATAACGCAGGCAAAGACCTTATGGATTGAATCAGAAAATATATAACTTTTACTTTCAGTCCCTCCATGTATTCATGGTGCTGCTTCATACTACCATGAACCAAGCCCTTTCAGTAAGACTATCATCACACTGAGGATAAAGGTACAGGTAGCAGTGTTAATTTCATCATCAAAAAGTGACAAAAATAGTCGTCAAAAACATAATTTTCTGAGGCAATTGACGCAACTATATCTGACTAAACAAACCCAGAAAAAAACTATAACTAAACAAAAATGATTTTTCATTTCAGTTGACTAAAACTGTGACTAAAATTGGACTACTAAGTGGACTGGACAAGAGTTTTTGGAGAGATTGAGAGCTTTTCAGTGATAAGCACAATTAATATTAGCAGCAGAGATGAGCAGTGCTGTTCTGTTCAACAGGGGGAAGGACGCGCCACACCCGGCACACACAGCCTAGCCTACATCAGCTGGTTGAGCTGCGGGGGAGCAAGCGATGGGTGCGGGCAGACAGGCTCCGCTCCGGCTCCCGCCTCCGATTTTACCCCCAACCCAGGCGACTCTTGCTTCCCCGTAGCTAACCAGTCACCACCAGCCTTCTAGTAAGCTACCCTTTGCCTGGTTAAGAAACACAAGCAGCTTTACGAAATTAAAAACAATAGCAGCGTTGAGTTTAAGAAGTAAAACAATCGTCTAGCTCCCTTAAGTGTATAGAAAAGTAGGCAGTGTTTGAATTTGTAGTCTTGCTCAACATTCCCACTTTCTCCACTGCAACGCATAGGAACGTAGCCAAGTCTCCTTTTCCTCGGCTTAATTCTAGCCCTTACCGTTCAAGAGATATGACCTATAATACCGACGCTACGTTTTTTCTTCTTCTTTCTATCGTGCATTGACAGGCCACATTTTACATTCATAAAACATATCGCGGGCCGGTCTAAAATTAGGCTACTTGCGGACATGACCGTTAACCATTTGTTTAGGCTACACCTTGTTCTGTCATGTAACCTCATTGGCTAGATATAGCTAACAACCTGGGGGCGCGTTCAGCAGGACGCAACGTTTTGGAACGTTCAGATATAAATATGCTATGTGGAACAAACATGCCTCTCTGACATGTTGAATAAGGAATAATGTCAGCTCTATTCAGGAAATTTCTATCTGCAATGTTTGAGTTTGTTTTGCAACGGAACGTGGCCCTGGTAACATTACCAGTAAACTGCTGAACGTGGCCCTGGTAACATTACCAGTAACCTGCTGAACGTAACCCTGGTAACATTACCAGTAGCCTGCTGAACGTAGCCCTGGTAACATTACCAGTAGCCTGCTGAACATAACCCTGGTAACATTACCAGTAGCCTACTGAACGTGGCCCTGGTAACATTACCAGTAGCCTGCTGAACGTAACCCTGGTAACATTACCAGTAACCTGCTGAACGTAACCCTGGTAACATCACCAGTAGCCTGCTGATGACGGATGGTCTGACATTCTCCTGTAGAATTCTCTGATACAGAGCAGAATTCATGGTTCCTTCTATTAAGGCAAGTCGTCCAGGTCCTGAGGCAGCAAAGCATCCCCAAACCATCACACCACCACCACCATGCTTGACCTTTGGTATGATGTTCTTACTGTGGAATGCAGAGTTTGGTTTTCGCCAGGCATTACTGGAACCATGTTGTCCAAAAACGTATACTTTTGAATCATCTGTCCATAGAATGTTCTTCCAAGAGTCTTGATCATCATCCAGGTGCTTTTTGGCAAACTTGAGTCAACTTTTTGGACGAGATGGGTCCCATTATGCCTGGCGAAAACCAAACTCTGCATTCCACAGTAAGAACATCATACCAAAGGTCAAGCATGGTGGTGGTGGTGTGATGGTTTGGGGATGCTTTGCTGCCTCAGGACCTGGACGACAGTATTAGAGAATTCTACAGGAGAATGTCAGACCATCCGTCTGTGAGCTGAAGCTGAAGCGCAGCTGGGTCATGCAGCAAGACAATGATCCAAAACACACAATCAAGTCTACATGAAAATAGCTAAAAAGCAACAAATTGGAAGTTTTGGAATGGCCTAGTCAAAGTCCAGACCTAATCCCAATTGAGATGTTGTGGCAGGATTTGAAACGAGTAGTTCATGCTTGAAAACCCACACGTCACTGAGTTAAAGCAGTTCTGCATGGAAGAGTGGGCCAAAATTCCTCCACAGCGACGTGAGAGACTGATCAACAACTACAGGAAGCATTTGGTTGGAGTCATTACAGCTAAAGGTGGCAAAACCAGTTATTGAGAGTAAGCGGGCAATTACTTTTTCACACAGGGGAATTGGGTGTTGCATAACTTTATTTATGAAATAAATAAATAAATATTTAATTGTTGTGTTATTTGTTCACTTATGTTCCCTTTATCTAATATTAGGTTTTGGTTGAAGATCTGATAACATTCAGTATCACAAATATGCAAAAGTAGAGAAAATTAGAAAGGGGGCAAACACTTTTTCACAGCACTGTAACTCCTCTAACCACTACAATATATCTGACTGGGTTAATAACCCCTCTCACCACTACACTATATCTGACTGGGTTAATAACTCCTCTTACCACTACACTATATCTGACTGGGTTAATAACTCCTCTTACCACTACACTATATCTGACTGGGTTAATAACTCCTCTCACCACTACACTATATCTGACTGGGTTAATAACTCCTCTTACCACTACACTATATCTGACTGGTTAATAACTCCTCTTACCCACTACACTATATCTGACTGGGTTAATAACTCCTCTCACCACTACACTATATCTGACTGGGTTAATACCTCCTCTCACCACTACACTATATCTGACTGGTTAATAACTCCTCTTACCACTACACTATATCTGACTGGGTTAATAACTCCTCTTACCACTACACTATATCTGACTGGGTTAATAACTCCTCTTACCACTACACTATATCTGACTGGGTTAATACACTCCTCTTACCACTACACTATATCTGACTGGGTTAATAACTCCTCTTACCACTACACTATATCTGACTGGGTTAATAACTCCTCTTACCACTACACTATATCTGACTGGGTTAATAACTCCTCTTACCACTACACTATATCTGACTGGGTTAATAACTCCTCTCACCACTACACTATATCTGACTGGGTTAATAACTCCTCTTTACCACTACACTATATGCTGACTGGGTAAATAACTCCTCTTACCACTACACTATATCTGACTGGGTTAATAACTCCTCTCACCACTACACTATCATCTGACCTGGGTTAATAACCCTCTAACCACTACACTATATCTGACTGGGTTAATAACTCCTCTAACCACGACACTAATATCTGACCTGGGTTAATCACTCCTCTTACCACTACACATATCTGACTGGGTAAATAACTCCCTTACCACTACACTATATCTGACTGGTTTAATCCTCTTAACCAGCTACAACATATCTGACTGGGTTAATCACTCCTCTCACCACTACACTAATACCCTCTACACTATGGGTTAATAACTCCTCTTACCACTACACTATATCTGACTGGTTAAACTCCTCTACCACTACACTATATCTGACTGGGTAATAACTCCTCTTCACTACACTATATCTGACTGGTTATAACTCTCTTACCACTACACTATATCTGACTGGTTAAAACTCCTCTACCACTACACTATATCTGACTGGTTAATAACTCCTCTTACCACTACACTATATCTGACTGGTTAATAACTCCTCTCACCACTACACTATATCTGACTGGGTTAATAACTCCTCTCACCACTACACTATATCTGACTGGGTTAATAACTCCTCTTACCACTACACTATATCTGACTGGTTAATAACTCCTCTTACCACTACACTATATCTGACTGGGTTAATAACTCCTCTCACCACTACACTATATCTGACTGGGTTAATACTCCTCTCACCACTACACTATATCTGACTGGGTTAATACTCCTCTCACCACTACACTATATCTGACTGGGTTAATAACTCCTCTTACCACTACACTATATCTGACTGGTTAATAACTCCTCTCACCACTACACTATATCTGACTGGTTAATAACTCCTCTCACCACTACACTATATCTGACTGGGTTAATACCTCCTCTTACCACTACACTATATCTGACTGGTTAATAACTCCTCTCACCACTACACTATATCTGACTGGTTAATAACTCCTCTTACCACTACACTATATCTGACTGGGTTAATAACTCCTCTTACCACTACACTATATCTGACTGGGTAAATAACTCCTCTTACCACGAACCACTATATCTGACTGGGTAAATAACTCCTCTACCACTACACTATATCTGACTGGGTTAATAACTCCTCTTACCACTACACTATATCTGACTGGGTTAATAACTCCTCTTACCACTACACTATATCTGACTGGGTTAATAACTCCTCTTACCACTACACTATATCTGACTGGGTTAATAACTCCTCTTACCACTACACTATATCTGACTGGTTAATAACTCCTCTTACCACTATATCTGACTGGGTTAATAACTCCTCTTACCACTACACTATATCTGACTGGGTTAATAACCTCCTCTTACCACTACACTATATCTGACTGGGTTAATAACTCCTCTCACCACTACACTATATCTGACTGGGTTAATACCTCCTCTTACCACTACACTATATCTGACTGGGTTAATAACTCCTCTTACCACTACACTATATCTGACTGGGTTAATAACTCCTCTTACCACTACACTATATCTGACTGGGTTAATAACTCCTCTTAACCACTACACTATATCTGACTGGGTTAATAACTCCTCTTACCACTACACTATATCTGACTGGGTTAATAACTCCTCTACCACTACACTATATCTGACTGGGTTAATAACTCCTCTTACCACTACACTATATCTGACTGGTTAATAACCTCCTCTTACCACTACACTATATCTGACTGGGTTAATAACTCCTCTCACCACTACACTATATCTGACTGGTTAATAACTCCTCTTACCACTACACTATATCTGACTGGTTAATAACTCCTCTTACCACTACACTATATCTGACTGGGTTAATAACTCCTCTTACCACTACACTATATCTGACTGGGTTAATACCTCCTCTTACCACTACACTATATCTGACTGGGTTAATAACTCCTCTTACCACTACACTATATCTGACTGGGTTAATAACTCCTCTTACCACTACACTATATCTGACTGGGTTAATAACTCCTCTTACCACTACACTATATCTGACTGGTTAATAACTCCTCTCACCACTACACTATATCTGACTGGGTTAATAACTCCTCTTACCACTATATCTGACTGGGTTAATAACTCCTCTTAGACCACTACCTATATCTGACTGGGTTAAATAACTCCTCTCACCACTACACTATATCTGACTGGGTTAATAACTCCTCTTACCACTACACTATATCTGACTGGGGTAATAACTCCTCTCAGGCACACCCACTCACACTATATCTGACTGGGGTAAATAACCCTCATCACGAACTACCTATATCTTGACTGGGTTAAATAACTCCTCTTACCACTATCACGATATCTGCTGGGTTCATAACTCGCTTCCATACCACTACACTATATTCTGACTGGGTTAAATAACGTCCTCTTAGCCACTAACCTATATCTGACTGGTTAATAACTCCCTCTTACCACTACACTATATCTGACTGGGTTAATAACCTGCCTCTTACCACTACACTATATCTGACGGGTTAGATAACTCCTCTTACCACTACACTATATCTGACTGGGTTAATAACTCCTCTTACCACTACACTATATCTGACTGGGTTAATAACTCCTCTTACCACTACACTATATCTGACTGGGTTAATAACTCCTCTTACCACTACACTATATCTGACTGGGTTAATAACTCCTCTTACCACTACACTATATCTGACTGGGTAAATAACTCCTCTCACCACTACACTATATCTGACTGGGCCAAAATTAGCACTGCTAGGTAGTGTACATCATGTTATAAAAGCAGATGATTCATACATCACATGGCGATCAGACGGTTGGCATTACATAAGTAGAATAATTTCTGAACTGGCAACAGTGAGGGCAGCTACAGCCACTCAGCCAGTCTGCGGTTTCAGACAAGACGCTCCACAGTCCCCAGGAGCGGAGCAGTTAATGGCTTCGTATCCGACAACAGAACATTAGCCAGGAGGAGGAAAAGAAAGGCTGCTAGGTGAGGTCATCCTGACGCTGCCTTAACAACCCAAACAGGTTTCTTCAACCAGACCCGTTGCACATGCTTTGGTTAACGGCTTTACGGGGGGGGGGGGGGGGGGGGGACTGTGCCACTCTGTTGGTTACTGTGCCAAGTACCAATCTCTTGGCGACATTGGTGATGCTGTGGGTAGGGCCAGCACAGTAGGCCCTAGAGGAGCGGGGATGTAGGGCAGTGACAAGGATGTCTGGTGAAATCTGAAGGAACTTCCATCTTGTTGCCAGGGAAAGAGAGTGAATTCTCTGGATTTACCAGGTCGTCGTCTATTAGCTGATCATTCATAACAACACTAAGTGGATATGACCAGCTGATCCACTGCCAGTATTAAAGGCATTCCAGAGTTGTGGAGGATACATTCAACACTGTAGATCCTCTTCTAGAAATACAGTTCCCTGATAATTGGACTACTGCACTACTAATGGGGCTAATTTCCCTTAGTAGCCCATCTCCTCAGGACAAAATAATGCTTTTCTAGTTTGTTGAGTCGCTGACCCAGTCCCCCTGCCATTAGTCTGGTTGGCTAACAAATGAAGCGTTCAAGAACAAAATGACATGACTTTTACAGACAGTTCTACAGCTGGCCAGCGCACCATTGGGTGATCTCAGCGCCTCCAGACTACACACTCAACGAAGTCGTGTGTTGGAACAATGAGGCCCTCTCGCCTGATATGAACCACGCCCCTCACTCAGTGTGACAGTGAGTTTTTCTAGTGAGAGAACATTGGAAAATCCCTGGCAACAGATTCACAACAGCTTGGTATGTTTCGTCTTCTGGCTTGTAAGAGGGAACTTTCTGAAGTAATTACAAACCGTGTAGGGCAGTGTTTTGAAGCGCTCGCAGGCTTTTCGCTTCCACAGAAGTGTCATTAACCCACTACAGAATTAGAAAATGTCAACCACGTCAGAGTAGGGCGTGGTTCTGTGCCAATTGGGAGACTTGAGAACATTCAAAACCCAGAGACATTAGTAAATATTTTTGTGTTTGACAACAGTGTTAAAGGTGATTTTGACTTGATTCTTGCACTTATTTGAATTATTAAACACCCTTTAGTGTGACAGCGATTAAACAGTATGTCACATTGCAATAACCTTTCTTCTTTCTGTCAGATTACAGGATCATTATTGACAGTGTGAAAGGTCAACATCATCCTCGGAGGAGGAAGCTTTATTTCTTTTGAACCAGCTTACACCTGTTTTTCAGGTAACCCAGCATGCCTGAGTTAATCATTGACATTATCACCAAGTCCTGCACACCACACAGCACACTTCAGCATCAAGTTCTGTTCAGGACTTGACTTTGTAAATGTCATTGATTGTCTCATTTCTCAACAATGGTAATTAAGTTCTATAACGTCAACCTTCTATAATTCATTAACCAACCACGTCATTAGATGATGTTTGAGTATTCTGTTTATTTTGCTCCATGGCACAGATCTAGGAATAGCTTCCCCTATCCAAATCCTAACCTTAACCATTGGTGGATGAAATGCAAAATGTAAAACAAGACCAGCGTCTAGAGGCAACCTACTCCCTTTGGCTCAGCAGAGCTCTTAAGTAAGAATGTCAGACAGTGTCTCCTGTATCTGGGCAGACGTCAGGCTGTGTTGAGAAGAGATATTGATTGGTTGTGACAAAGTGATGTGTCATGCACCTTCACTCACTCTACTAATAACCTGCAACCCCAACTCCACTTCCTGTCTCCAGCTATCACACTTGAACTGTCCAGCATACAAGCGGATGACAATCAGCACATCCACAACGCTTTATGAGAACACAGGAGCCACAGACCAGACCATCTGGTTAAATCCCTTATCCATTTCCTCATCCAGATCATTATCTTTTTTTCCCTGCTGGTTGACATTTTTTGCAGAGCGTGTTGACAATCCTTCGACCCAGATTCTTGGCAGAAACATTTCCTCGGCGGGTTTTGATATTATTTTCGCATGGTTCAACTCTAAATTGTAATATTGTTCCCAGCTACGTCTGAATTAGGTTCATGTTATAGCCTACAATCCCATCTATGTCTTCCACATAAGACAGCATCTTTCTCAGCACCAAGGATAAACGTTCACTTTCATCAAAGCCCTAAGTCGAGCTTGAGCTGCAAAATAGCCATCACGCCTGCAATAACAGCCCTGCCGGCAGGGACTACCTCTTTGGTGCTAAGTTTAAATCAGGCAGTGGTGACATCTCACGTTAAGCACACAGACAGATTGATGACCAGGAGGAGATGAGTTTACCGTTACAGAACTGCAGCAGCGAAGAGGTGTCATAGAGGCTGCTGTAGCTGGAAAACCCGTCCTCCATTCTGGACTTCCACCGCGCTCCTCCACTCCCTCCTCTCTTGTTCCCTCTCTCCTCCAGCGAGTTCCCGTTACTTTCGCTTGCTTGCTACCACCGAGGCTCTTCCTCCATTCAACATCCAGTTTTCCCGGGTCAGGCTACCAGTGTCAGTTAACATGGCAACCCGTTCACTACGATTATGTAATGTGAACCTCAGACTCTCTTCTCTTCTTTGAATGGTCCTGAGGACAAACTCAAAAAAATTAGAGGGGGTGAACCTCCGGGAGAAGTTCAAAACACAGGTTCTCCTCTCCTCTCCTTCCCTCAGTCCCTCCAGTTTAAGCTGTGTGGCGTTAAACCGTGTGCTGAGCTCCACAAGAAAAACAGATTTGAGAGGCTTGAGCTGTAAGTGGAGCGCTGGCAGCAGAGTGTGTGTGCACGAGAGAGAGAGAGAGAGACAGAGAGAGAGAGAGAGAGAGACAGAGAGAGAGAGAGAGCGACAGAGAGAGAGAGTGAGTGTGTGTGTTTGTGCGTGTGAGTGTTTGGATAATGCCTTGGACAGAGTTCCCCGGCCCAGACTTTCACTGACTGTGGACGAGTGAGAGCAGAGGGGGTTGGGCCTCTTTCAAAACACAGATCCTCCCTCTTGCCTAGATAGGACACAGAGAAAGAGAAAGAGAAAGAGAGAGAGAGAGAGAGAGAGAGAGAGAGAGAGAGAGAGAGAGAGAGAGAGAGAGAGAGAGAGAGAGAGAGAGAGAGAGAGAGAGAGAGAGAGAGAGAGAGAGCACCTATGATCACCAGAAAGGAAGGGAATAAAGGGAAACAAGGAAGAAGAAAAATTGCAGCTAGTAGAAGGAAATGAAATTAGATGTAGTAAGTAAGAAGCTGTCTTGTTGTTCAGCTCTTCTAGCCTGCTGACAGAAACCATCCTGTCAGAATAATCATCCCAAAACAGCCACTGATACGAGAGAAACCCAACGGATATGAACAAATATAGAATAAAGCTCTTTCTCAGTCTCAAAGAGAAGAGAGGAATCTGTCCATTCAGGAGAAAAAGAACAGAGACAGATGGAAGTGTAACACAGAGAAGAGATAGAGGGTCGCTGAGACTAGAATAGGGACTTCTATGGAAGAACAGTGTCCCAGTCTACCTACCGGTCAGAGTTAAACGGGTTCAGATAGAAATAGATGACAAAGAACAAACATGGCTCTCTGACAAGCGGAACAAGAAATCACATCCGGTCTATTCGTAACATTCCTATCTGCAACGTTCCACAACATTTGGCTCCGGAGTCAGACTGGGGCAGAGAGGGATTTGGATCACAACGTCACAAAACAAATGTGAAGTCACATCTTCCCGCACCATTTTCCCAAGAAGCTAAACAAGAAGGTAGTTGAACACAATCAGAATTGAAGCTAAACATGATTATTATCAGCCTTATCGGTCTTAAAGCAGACAGTGTAATCATCAAAGAAGATGAAGAGGGGGAGAGAAGGAGGGAGGGAGGGAAAGTGCCTCTATTTTGACTGGGGGTTTTCTGCAGCCGTCAAAGAAGAGATAGGGGAGGATGAGAAGGAGAGAAAGGGAAGGAAGGAAGGAAGGAAGGAAGGAAGGAAGGAAGGAAGGAAGGAAGGAAGGAAGGAAGGAAGGAAGGAAGGAAGGAAGGAAGGATCTAAATTTTGACTGTGGGTCTCCTGACTGCAGCAGTCACGGGGGAAAACCTATTTCAATTATTCATGCGCCTGGCGTGGGATGGAAAAGATATATGCATAAAGATGACTGTGACCTATATTTACTTCTCAAACACTCCTCACTGTTCTGCCTCACGAAACAAAACAGGGCCAAAAACACAACAATGCTTTAATGATGGTTGCAAGAAGGGAGAGATCTCAGATCTGTTTTCCACCTGGACTGCTATGTCTCGGAGCATGGCAGTGATTTGTTAGGGGCTTTTCAACTGACCCTAGAACAGCCGGGGTAGGGTATCTCAGTGTTCTCTTCTATTTCCCCTCAGGGGATTGCACTGTGCGCTCTGTTCTGTCCCACCTAGCTAGCCTATTACACAACAGGATAAAGCCCCCCTAACACTTCTATTTTCTGGCAACCTACAGGAGCTAACAAGGCTCCCCTCTTTTAGCGCTTTTATATCAGAGACGTTGGAAACATTACTGGATCTCTCGGTCTGTATCAATGCTGCAGTGCTGCCTTCACTTGTCCATGTTTTCCCTTCTGCATCACAAATAAGAATGATGGGGACACCCTTTGAAAGATGTTTATCTGTCTGATGATATTTAAATCGTTTTTATCCCGGCATAGTGGTATGTAATACAAATTTGCACACACAAAAAAGACCAATGTACATGTAGGCCTACGTATAAAAACACAATGGTCGGTATGTCCTTTAGATGCCCTCAATTGAAAACCACAATATTGTCTGAGGAAAGCTTCACTGTGACTGAACTAGAATACAGTCAGATTAGAGTGTATTTTACTGTATCCCCCCCCCCCCCCCCCCCCCCCAACCCCCCCAGTCTTTATGAATGCAGTTCTAGATTAGGGCAGGAGAGGGTGAGGTAATACGGTGGTTGGTTGAGGGGCGTGAGGCAGGGGTATCCCACGGGTGGCAGCTGGAGGAGGGCTCTACTCCCCCTCAACCCTCACACCCCCCCGCCCCGTCCCCTAGCGCCCCGTCCGCCACCCTGTCCCCCCCTTCACCAGCCCCCTCACTGCTTTGGGGCAGTATTAGAGGGCCCGCCAGTCTGCCAGGATTAAAGCCACAATCAAAGGTAGATGGCTGTCCTAGAGGATTCATCCATTTTCTATGATGTACCTACAGTGAGGGAAAAAAAGTATTTGATCCCCTGCTGATTTTGTACGTTTGCCCACTGACAAAGACATGATCAGTCTATAATTTAAATGGTAGGTTTATTTGAACAGTGAGAGACAGAATAACAACAAAAAAATCCAGAAAACACATGTCAAAAATGTAAAAAATTGATTTGCATTTTAATGAGGGAAATAAGTATTTGACCCCTCTGCAAAAGATGACTTAGTACTTGGTGGCAAAACCCTTGTTGGCAATCACAGAGGTCAGACGTTTCTTGTAGTTGGCCACCAGGTTTGCACACATCTCAGGAGGGATTTTGTCCCACTCCTCTTTGCAGATCTTCTCCAAGTCATTAAGGTTTCGAGGCTGACGTTTGGCAACTCGAACCTTCAGCTCCCTCCACAGATTTTCTATGGGATTAAGGTCTGGAGACTGGTTAGGCCACTCCAGGACCTTAATGTGCTTCTTCTTGAGCCACTCCTTTGTTGCCTTGGCCGTGTGTTTTGGGTCATTGTCATGCTGGAATACCCATCCAAGACCCATTTTCAATGCCCTGGCTGAGGGAAGGAGGTTCTCACCCAAGATTTGACGGTACATGGCCCCGTCCATCGTCCCTTTGATGCGGTTGAAGTTGTTCCTGTCCCCTTAGCAGAAAAACACCCCCCAAAGCATAATGTTTCCACCTCCATGTTTGACGGTGGGGGATGGTGTTCTTGGGGTCATAGGCAGCATTCTTCCTCCTCCAAACACGGCGAGTTGAGTTGATGCCAAAGAGCTCGATTTTGGTCTCATCTGACCACAAAACTTTCACCCAGTTCTCCTCTGAATCATTCAGATGTTCATTGGCAAACTTCAGACGGGCCTGTATATGTGCTTTCTTGAGCAGGGGACCTTGCGGGCGCTGCAGGATTTCAGTCTTTCATGGTTGTAGTGTGTTACCAATTGTTTTCTTGGTGACTTTGGTCCCAGCTGCCTTGAGATCATTGACAAGATCCTTCCGTGTAGTTCTGGGCTGATTCCTCACCGTTCTCATGATCATTGCAACTCCACGAGGTGAGATCTTGCATGGAGCCCCAGGCCGAGGGAGTTTGACAGTTATTTTGTGTTTCTTTTCCATTTTGCGAATAACCCGCACCAACTGTTGTCACCTTCTCACCAAGCTGCTTGGCGATGTCTTGTAGCCCATTCCAGCATTGTGTAGGTCTACAATTTGTCCCTGACATCCTTGGAGAGCTCTTTGGTATTGGCCATGGTGGAGAGTTTGGAATCTGATTGATTGATTGCTTCTTGGACAGGGTCTTTTATACAGGTACAAACTGAGATTTTGGAGCACCCCTTTAAGAGTGGGGCTCCTAATCCAAACTCGTTACCTTTATAAAGACACCTGGGAGCCAGAAATCTTTCTGATGAGAGGGGTCAAATATTACGGTGGGGGAAAAAAGTATTTAGCAAACCACCAATTGTGCAAAGTTTCCCACTTAAAAAGATGAGAGGCCTGTAATTTTCATCATGGTAAAAGTAAAAGGGAAAATGATAGAAAAAATCCGGAAACAAGGGGATTTGTTTATGAATTATTTGCAATTATGGTTGGAAAAATAGTATTTGGTCAATAACAAAAGTTTCTCAATACTTTGTTTATAACCCTTTGTTGGCAATGACACCCAGGTCCAACACGTTTTCTGTAGCCTTCACAAGGTTTTTTCACACACTGTTTGCTGGTATTTTTGGGCCCATTCCCTTTCCATGCAGATCTCCTCTATAGGCAGTGATGTTTTGGGTGCTGTCGCGGGCAACCACCTACTTTCAACTCCCTCCACAGATTTTCTATGGGGTTGAGATCTGGAGACTGGCTAGGCCACTCCAGGACCTTGAAATGCTTCTTACGAAGCCACTCCTTCGTTGCCCGGGCGGTGTGTTTGGGATCATTGTCATGCTGAAAGACCCAGCCACGTTTCATCTTCAATGCCCTTGCTGATGGAAGGAGGTTTTCACTCAAAATCTCACGATACATGGCCCCATTCATTATTTCCTTTACACGGATCAGTCGTCCTGGTCCCTTTGCAGAAAAACAGCCCCAAAGCATGATGTTTCCACCCCCATGCTTCACAGTAGGTATGGTGTTCTTAGGATGCAACTCAGCATTCTTTGTCCTCCAAACACGACGAGTTGAGTTTTTACCAAAAAGTTATATTTTGG